AATTATTTTTACAATTCTCGCAGTTCTATTGAGAGTTCTGGGTAGCCCCTCAAGAGTTCTAAAGGAAATCCTAATGGCAAAATTAAATATTTCCAATACTTTTAGTGTTATCGCTGATTTCGAGTTTTCATTTTGTGAAGTTAGCATCCCCAAGTTTCAAATTTAACTTTTTTGGGTTAATTCGCCAGAACTATGTTTAAAATTTATAAGGAACTCTAGAACTCTTCGGGGTGCATTCAGAACTGTAAAAAAAAAATTATTTTTTGAGACATGAGGTGCCAACTTCACAGAGGTAGCTCCGACGCCGACGGATGATAATCGAGAAAGAAAAATACGAGCGCGGGAGGAACTTGGCAAACTTGGTTCAAATCGGACGAGCGGTATCTCGCAAAGTCAAACGGAATCTACGTAGCGAGACGAAATCCAAGTTGGATCCGACCTCGCGCAGCTCCCGACGATTTTATACGCGAGAATACGCCAACGGGAGGAGAATATACTCCGAGAGAGGGCTTCGTTTAAAAAGTTCCGCGAATAAACGACGAGATGAAAACAAACACCGAGGGACGGACGCGGGCGCGATGAGACCCTCGCGCTTCGCCGAGCGGACGCGCGAAAATAATTCGCTATTCGAGAGGTAGAAAAATCACCGCGGATCGTAATTGCGACGCAGTTGCTTACTCGACGCGTTACTCCCGCGATATCGCTGTAATTCGTTTCCGAGTTCTATCTCTCTCTCTCTCTCTCTCTCTCTCTCTCTCTCGGATTCGCAGCTCTGGGAGTCCCGTTATTCTTTAACAACAATAAGTACGGAACACGAACGGAATGCGGGAGTGGATCGGCAGGCGCGTAAAAGTTTTCTTTGTCGATTGTATCCCGTCGTCGGCTCGCGTTTGGTAAACTCCCGATTGATCTCGTTCCGCCGAGAGATTAAGGGCCCAGTTTCGCAAACATCGGTTAACTGTTAACTTAAATTAACAAACTTAAATATTTACTCCCAAGTCTGAGAGCAAATTCGGACAATCGAGTGTTAACGCTCGAAAATCGAGTGTTTTTTCCGTAAGAGTTTAGTCGACTCCCCTATCTCCTTCCGTCTTATCATCCAAGAAGAGAACGGAGAATCAATTAACCCTCGGTTAGCAGTTAACCGACGTTTGTGAAACTCGCGCCCTAGGGCCAGTTTGCGAAACCGAAAGGTTAATAGACTCTCTTCGAGACCGAGGACGATAAGACAGAAAAGAATAAGGGGATCGGCCGAACTCTGGCTAACAGCTGACCGATGTTTGCGAAACTGGCCCTTAATAGATGTCGAGACTTAGCGCAAGGCAGCGCTAAGCCGAAGAAGATACTTCTCGGCGTCTCGCATCGTCGACTCTCAGCGGCGTTTGCACTTCGCGCAATTAAATTCAATTAAAATTGAGATTTCCAGCGTGCTCGTGTCCCACCCGATATGCGCGCTCGTTCGAGTGACCCGCGCCGAAGGTCACAAATACGGTTAATAGCGCACGGTTAAAAAAAACTCGTGTGTGTGTGTTGAAGGGGAAAAACTGTCTCGCGTTTGTTTTGATTATTGCTTCAATGTAACGTACGACAGATACGTTGTTTTTGCAACATCTTTATGCGTTACGTTTATGTTAACGTGATAACTTGGCACTTTATAACGTATGTCGTTTTGAGTTTTTCTGACACGGCTATTTCACAAAATCAACCCAGACATGTAATATCGACGTTTCTTCAAAATTGTTTCCGACTATTTTCGAAAGTATTCGTACAGTTTGCTTATCCTGTCTGTTTTTTTTATGACATCACACTTACGGTTAAAGGAACGCAAACGTAAATGTGGAGTATAAGTGTTAACTAATTGATTATTTGTCAAAAAACAACACGCGCGACGAATGGTATTTCAACTTAAAGCTTCGAGTGGACTTTTTGGGACGTGTGAAAAATGTTAACATTAACATTTGATTTTTTACCGTGTACATTTATCGCACGACAATTTCTCAAGCGTGCCCTGAGTCTCCAGAACGAATCTATTCGTCAGTCGACACGCTTGAAAAAATTGTCGCGCGACAATATCAGATTAAAGAGAAAAGTTCAAGATACCGAATGATTGCCTCTCGTAAGATATTGTACAATTAATCTCGCGGCATTTTTTCAAGATAAATTGTCGGTATAATTTTCCGAGATAACCGAGTGCGGTTTGCATGACTTGTGAAAATTGCCGACTCTGAAAAAGTCACAAATAAAGAAGAAAAAGATACCGAGTGTTTTCTCCAAGATATTCCTCTTGAATCGATCCTAACTCGAGGACTTTTGCAAGCGAAATTCTCGTAAAATAACAGCGCGAGATCGCGACTTTTAAACTATCGTCTATTCGAAAAAGTTACAGATAAAGTGAAAAGCCGAGGCGATTGTCTTTCAGAAAACACGTCGACTCGATCCGCGTAAAGAATCTTTCGGCGAGCTGGAGAGGAAACGTTCGTGCCGAAATAACAAAGCGAGACTACGACTTTGAAAACTTTTGCCGGCTAGAGATTTTCGCGAATAAACAGCGGCGTCGTCTCTCGCTTGTTTCCCAATGCTCGTTAGCCGCCTCAGCTCGCGGCTAATTTCAGAGATATCTAATAGCGAAATACGAAAGATTATGGCGGAGGGACGGCGTTTCCTCTCGCCGAGGCAAACCGGATTCCGACGGCGATCACACGCGTCACAGGCCCGGCCGACAGCGCCGAAACCGCCTCAAACAAATCCGAAATGCGCGAGCGTATCCGCGAGCAAACAAACCGGGCGCGTCCCGTACGATTTGAGGCATCGGCCGTCACGAGTCGTTGCACTTTTCCATGGCCAACAGGTGGTAGCGGCTCCGCTCCGGGAGCGAGAAAACGCCGCCGAAAGGGACTCCGAAAGATACGGCGCGCTGGCGCCGCGACAAGAGAACAAATGCACGCACGTACCTTGAAGATCCGATGAATCACGACGCTCCTGGTCCGACGAGGCTGAGGTCCTTCGGCTCCTTGCGTCCCTGTCCCTCGCACGGCCGCCACTCCGTTGGTCCGGGAAGAAGGACTACCCTCGGTGCGATCCTCCTGAACTCGGGCACAGAATGTTTCACACGATACCCCGATACGCGGCACCAGAGACCGTTGGCGACGGACACACGCGAACCTGTCGCGCCGCGACGCGCGACTGTTACGAGCGTTTCGTATTCGCGTGAGACGGGGACGGGAGGTGCGAAATCGCGCAACGCGACGGCGCGACGCAACGAGAGCAAACGGTTGCGGGCTACGCGACGCGCAGATGAAACATGGAGTGGGACGGGAGCCGCGGTGCGAACGTTCGGCGACTGTAACACGAATGGCGGCGGAGACGGCCGAGCGCCGGCGGCGGCGGCAGCGGCGGCGGCGGCGCACGAGCGGCGACGAAGTCGGCCGAGCGCGACTGCGGCGGCGACGGCGGTTCGCGGCTCTGCGCATGAGCGGTGGTGGGGGTAGCCGCCGCGCTGCCGAACGGTCAGACGGCGGGCGAACGTGTTGGGACATTTTCGGGCGCATCACGCTCTTCGCTCTGCGCTCTGAGTCGCTATACTAGAGTAGGACTGGCGATTTCCTTGGAAGGCTTCGACACTCGAACTTTCGAAGCTTCAATATCAAACATGCCTTTTTTAAATAGGGACTAACACGCAGCGCGCGCTAACGAAAATGAAACAACAAATTGAAATAGATATATATATATATGTGTATATAATATTTTTGAGTTGTACACATTACTTACAAATGATTAGAGATTAACTATAAAATCTTCATATTCTGATCCTTCAACGATGATTATATTTCTATAACAGAAAACAATCTCCATGATTATGTTGTAGAGTTCTAAAATCGGAAATCGTTTAGACGAATTCAATCCTGAATGTTTCATGAAAAAAACATTTTAAATGTAAATTTATAAAACGATACAATTTCAATACAATTATCTTGTGGATAATTTTTACAATATCTGTGAGTCAAGGCATACGGTAACCTACGTACGAATATATTAGACCAAGCCCTGATAAGAGAATTTACATAATATATATTAAGATTTGATATGATTTTCAGTATTATTGCAGCGTAACCAACAATTTTTGTAATATGTATTGTAAATGTAATTGAATTACCTTTATGTAAATTTCGTTGCGTGATACAATAAAAAAATATTGTATATCATTTTATCTAACGCTAAAGGTAGGATATCTTAAAACGAACAATACTACAGATTTAGTTATTCGTTGCACATAGTTGATGATAAAAATGCCCCGCGCACATTGACCCTACACAAAATTAATATGCAGAACCATAATTGTACCCAAAGAGAGATAAGAGAATCTTTACAATTTAAATAATACTTGATTTACCCAATCAGAAATATTCCTCTTTGAGAATATTTCTTGACAAGACTATCGACACTTTTGTTTGTCACCACGCTGTTCCCTTTACATATAACATTACATTTTTGGTCCGTTTTATATTGCTGTACAATACTTCGATATCCGATCGCGTCTTCTAACTGCATAGCCAATTTGAGAAGCTAATCGTCGCTACGTAAAAGAATAAAACGCCATATTTCTTACTGTAAAAGCGGTAGACGCTGTCTTTTTGTAAGTACTGCGTCGATACCGCGCATCCTTTGTTCAAGTTTGTTGCGTTTTTCTCGCACAGTACTATTCTAATTTGCTATCCTAGTACTTAAAATAGGAAGAAATCCTCCCTTTTTATCTGTATAACATAGCAAAAGTCCACACACATTACTTAATCTATTTAATATCTACATAAACTATCTAGTTCGTATAATACAAATTCGTCCTCTACGTCAACTCGTCCGTGCATAGTTTCCTCTCCTCCTCTACTCGTTGCCGAGTGCGATTAAAAGCCTCCGTTTTCACGAAATCCACGGTTTTGTACACTGTCGTATTCGGCAGGGTCTGCGCGGACGGTAACGTCGAGGAAGTAAAGTCTGTCGCTTCCAAGTCGAGATCCAGATATTGCAGCACCACCAGGCGATTCGACGCCGGAATGAACGAGTTCTGATCTTGATAATAGTATATCTAGAAATCGAATTACGCATATGAAATCACATATCGTGCCACGTCACCCTGTAACGGCTAAGATTACGCGCGATTCTTAGAATCGTTCTACAAACCTCCTCTTTATCCTCGAACGCGTTATTGTCTTCGTCCGACGTCGATTGATGACGTGTCGAGTGCGACGGAGGCGTCGGACTGGGCGCCGCCCGCATTCTTCCTCTTCCAGGGGGAGACGCTAATTGTAGATGAGGTGCTGCTAGAAAAATTACGCGTCAAATATACTTCCTTTAATGCCGTACATACAAAGAGAGGGGTGGGAAGAAAGGAAATCTTACCCTCCACCGGCGACTTATTCAATGGCTTCAGCTTCCTGTTGATGCTCGGTGGCTCGGCCGGAGAGTGTTCGGCGGAGCTCACGTCGTATAGCGCGATTGTCGGACCCGGTGACGGTTCGTTGCTTACGATAGACATCGAGTCGCTGGTCTTCCTCCCTGGTTTTAGCTCTCTGTACACCATCGGCGGAGGCGGCGCCATGGTGGTCGGTACACCGCTCGAGCCGTCTCGCACGAGGGGACTCGGTAGATTCGAATACGGCACCGTGGCCGCGTTCTCGGAACGCGGACTCGACGGCTCGTCCACGTGGAAGTCGTAGCGGAACACGTTCTGCGTCTCGTCGTTGATTGTGCTCGGCGCGGCGTTCGAGTAGAAATGTTTGGACGACTGATCGACCGCCGCCGTATTATTCTCGACAGTCGTTTGCGCTGCTTGCGGTTGATGAGATCTCGGAAAGTCGTACGACTCGTCCGTTACGGCGCCCGTTATTATCATCACGGCAGCAGCGGGCGTCGTCGGCGCCGGCGTTGCCGGTGTACTCGGTTTCGAACTCTCGGTGGCACCGTCCAGATTCAGGTAGTTGTGACCGGGATTTTCAGGCAACATATGAGGCGGCTTCGGTGGTCTGGGCGGTGCTGGTAACTTCTCCACGGCCGGTGGCACCGCGGAATCGATCCGGAGCTTGCCGAAGCGTTTTCTCACGCTCCACGGGCCGATCTCGTGGTCGCCCGGGCCGTGAGGTTGTCGCGAATCACCTGCCAACGATTTCATCTCGTTAGCGACGATAAGAGAAACGAATATTGAATCACGCGCATTGTCAAACACCCACCCGTTGAGGGAAGCGTGTCCCAATTCGTGCTCGTCATAGACGCCGTCCATTCGTCGTCGGTGAAGACGCTCTCCGCGTCTGTCGTCGTGGGCGACCGCGGCGGTGAAGGCGCCAATCTCCTCGGGGCGTCGTAATGCTCGGGTCCCTGTCCGAGGGCTGAACTCAGGGAGCTGGTGTCGTTGAGCCGACGGCCGGAAATGCACTCGCTAATAGGAATGTAGGGACCGGAGATCGTGCTAGTAGGCGAAATCGGCGGGGATTCTTGAGACTCGTATTGAAACACTGGAAGAAAAATTTATGTGTGCTGCTGTCAAAGTTCGCCTTCAACGATCTACAATTCCTGTCTAGATTTCTGGATAGAACCCTACTTATAATTTTATCCGCACTGCAACACGCGCATGTACTTAAATATATGTTTCGTATTCCAATTCGTTGAGCGGTTGCATTGCCAACAAATCCTGGCCGCTGACATGAATTATAGATCGTCTAAAGAATATTTATAGCAACAGATTGATACGAGATGGAAGCTGAAATTCCATTACTTTGTTGGTCTTCATCCTGAGTGTACGCCTTTAAACCGCAAACTTGGCACACGGCATCCACCCATTTGTTCATATCCGCTTCGTTCTCGGCAACCAAATAATAGATCCTCTTTGGCGTCTTCACATTGAACATGTACTGATACTTTTGTTTGCGATTTTCGAATCGAAGACCCGCGTCCACCTGTGACAGATAGTATCGCTAAGTATCCGTAGCCCGTGGGAACAGGCTTTACAAAGATAATTGTGACAAGCACCTGCTCGCACTGATCCAAATCGATACAACCCTTGAGCTTGCGGCAGCGTCTGTCCGTGTAATACTCGAGAAAGTATTGACCAGGCAGTTCACCGCTGTGACGAAGGGCAAACCACCGTTTCCTCCATCTCTGTAAGAAAAAGATATTAAAGATAAGACTATTTACCCTCGGTTCAAACTTGGCATTAATCGTGGCACGGCCTATCGATAAAATCCCGATGAACGTGCTACGCCGCTTATCGCGAGAGCGGTATTGTCCCTCGGAGGCGCGGGTCGCAGAGGTGACCGAGAGCAGCAGGAAGAAGAAAAATGTCGCGTACGACTGCTCGAAAATTAGGTTAGGTCGCGGTATCCCCCTCGCGCGAGCAGCCAGCTGCGACTCTCGTCTTGCCAGACTGGCGCTCGAATATTCCACGGGAGACGAAGCGAGCGTTCCGTAGCCCGCGGCCGATTCCCCTCGCGGACAAAACGCAAGGTGGATCTGGCGAGCCACGGACGTAAACAATGGCCAGGCCGTCCCGTCTGGCAGCCCCGTGGACGACGAGATCCGCGGTACGCGACGCGCCAATTCGTCCCGCGCTCGATACCGACCGCTCTCCAGAGCTTCGTGGGCGGCGACTTGATGAGCCAGCCTTCGTGGACGATCTCCTGGGACGTCTTGAGCACCTCCATCTCTCGCTACGCCCGGGAGAGATGGCGATCAGGGTGGCGTGATCGCCCGCCTCGTCAAGCGATCTGCGAGCTCAGCGGCGCGGGGGCATCCTGGAGGACGCGCGCGAGGAACCACCGACGACGGGGATGACGACGACGACGCGCCCGCCGTCCATTCGTCTATTTTAGGCCCCGACGGCGCAACACGGCGAAACCGCGGACGAACGACGACACGATCCCTCACGTACGCAACGACTGGCTACTCCCTCCCCCACCTCTTTCTCTCACCCTCTCTCTCTCTTTCTCGCGCGCACGAGCGAGGGCACCGATACGCGGAGTGAATGGCGCGAGGAGACGAACCGACACGGAGCAGCCCGCAACGGGACACTGCGGCGCGCACAAAGGCGCGCGTCAACGGCGACGGGACGGTCCCCGTACTCTCCGTCGCGCTTTGTCCCGTCCACCGCGTGCCACCACCACCGCCCGTCGTGTCGCGGCCACGCGTGTGCCGAGGCTCGCGCGAGTGACACGACATGACACACGCTCCGCGCGGGGACCGTCCGCGATGACAGTGCGGTGACGTACGTGCTTCCGCGGCCGCCCGAGTCCGCGATTAGGCGTTGCCGCCGCGTCGCTCCGATATCCCGCGATATCTCGCCCTCCGGTCGCAGAGAAAGGCTGATGGCAGACAACTATCCGTAAACGCTTAAGACTGCTTAGTCGTAGACGTAGGGCAAGGCAGAGAGAAACGTAAGTCGTGAAAGACTACTGTATACGACTTACGTTTCTCTTTGCCTTGCCCTACGTCTACGACTGAGACAGTCTTAAGGCCCGGTCTACAATGAGTTGTTAGTCGTTAGTCAGAAGTCGGAACTATACATATGTCGGTCCTTTTTCTTCCATCCAGAAAGGAAAAGGATCAACATATAGTTGCGACTTCTGACTAACGACTAACGAATGTTCGCGAATTGTACAAACGAAAGACGTAAACGAAAGATTCGCCAATTGCCTGATGTCTGAGGAAACTCCATTTTCTCCATTCTTTCTAATTATTATTATATAATTATATAATATATATTATTATATAAATTATTATATATAATTTCTTTTGAATTAGTTCAAAAAGTAAAAATGGGCGTAAGAGCGTACAAATAACGGAATGTGACAACAAATCAATTCGCCTTCATTTATTACAGAGCATAGGTATGATAGAAAAACTTTTCTCTCCTCACACGTGTCTTACGCCAGCCGAGAAAAGTCAAATAGCAAGTCCGCGAACGTGGCTCTTTCGAATTCTAAAGTTCTACAAATGCGAGATATACGCGTCAGTTGGTAAAGGGTGCTGTAAAAAGGAGAGAGGGAAAGAGGGTCTCACCTCCGTTTCTTGTGCATCAAGAGTCGCACACTGTACGAAAGGTGGAAAATAAAAATAGGATGTATTTTCACGATTCTTTCAATAATCACAAACTCACAATCAACTTATATATATTGCTTTTATTTATAAATAGCAAGTTTTTCACACAAGAAATATCCGTTCTGCGTTTTCAAAAACTATAAAAGCGACGGTAGTAAAAGTTGCGGAACATGGCGGGCATTGTCCGGCTCATCAAAATTAATACTTTTTTGTTCATATAAAATCACTTTCCCGAGCGTGCTAGCAGCCTGTTGTAAATTCCTATTTTTTGGATGTGGCGATGGCAATCTATCCAATCACAGCAACGGTATCGGTCAATTATGAGGGAAAGAACAAATTCAACGTCCTGACGCCAGGTTTTATCGCAACTTCAGTCATCACGGTAACGTTTGGGGTCTGTTCATCTGTTGTCCAGTCTGCATTTCAGCTACAGGGCCTACAGATCCCCGGTTGGCCTCGTATTCATCACAGCCATTCGCTTTCTATACGAGTAAACGACGAACGTTTTTGATATATAGGGTATATAGATACAGAAATAGGTAGACAAGTTTATTTAAATGTAAAAAAATTAACGAAAAAATGTTCATACACTCACTCGTTGTTTGATAAGAGCAACCATCAACGGTGGATTGCTCTTGAGTATTTGGAGCATTTGGTTCTACTGATCGGGCGTGTGCGGACTCCTGAGAGTCTGCATCAGCTGTTGAAGAGCATGCTTCTGCATGTTGCTTGTCTGTGGACCGACCTGTCCAACCGGTCCGATCACGCCCGGTTGCCGCGGCATTTGTGCACCCATTGGTTGAGCCTGATGATGATGCTGCTGCTGCTGCTGTTGCTGCTGCATCAAATGTTGCTGCTGCATCAGCTGTTGCTGCTGCATCAGCTGTTGCGGCGTCTGCTGTCGCGCCAAATTGGGATTTTGTTGCATCACCGTATTTGATTGATACCTGCTGAGTTGAAAAAAATACTCACAAAATGCGCCGTTTTTCCAGTTACAATTCATTAGTTAAAGTTACTGATGAGGTGAGTCAGAAAGACATAAAAAAAGGTGTGAATTTAGTAGATACCTTGCCGTCCAATGATCCATCGGTATGAGATGCGTGCCGCTGGGATTCGGCATCTGAACCGGCAACGGGCGTTGCATCTGCGGCGGCGGCATCACCCCACCCGTTTGGCCGCCCACGCCGACACCACCGACAGGCGTCACCTTGCCGAAACTGTGCAGCGCCTGTTGCCTCGCTGCTTCTTCCTGCACCTGCTTCACCACCTGTAGAACATGTGCAGGAGGCGCCTGCGTCCCGGGTTTCAATCCAATACCTGGTTGATGCGGCGTCGGCAAACTCGACGTGCTGACGCCTGGTTTCATCGCGACTCCAGTCGTCATGGCAACGTTTGAGGTCTGTTGTCCAGCCTGCATTGCGGTTACAGGTCCGGTTGGCCTCGTATTCATCACAGCCATTCGCCTCCTATGCGAGTAAACGACCAACGTTTTTGATATATAGCGTATATAGATACAGAGATAGGTAGACAAGTTTAAGTGTAAAAAATTAACGAAAATGTAAAATAACTTGAAACGATATATTATTTAGAGAGGAAGCGATTAAAAGTCAAGGAATAAGTCTTATACGCAAATTGAAAAACGTAGAGACAATATATAAGGACATGCGAAAAAGTTAAATATATTCACTTGTCTCAGTTTAGATAGAGTATTCTGCAATTCGCTATTTAACAAATGTCGATAGAACAATGCTTGAAAGAAGGCTATAGAATGTATATTTTAATTTGCATTAGCGTAAGACGAACGGAAAAAATAGACGATTCCAATAACCTGAGCAGTTGCGCCTGTTGTAATCGTTGCTGCAATTGTTGCTGCTTTATCTTGTGCTTGATGTTGGAGCAGAATGGAACGAGACACTTGGTCTCTTGGCAGTGTCTTGCGTGATAACAACACAGCGCAATCAGCTGTTTACATATAGGACAACCGCCATTTGTCTTTCTTTTGCAGTTCTTCGTATGCATCACTACTCGCTTCATTTTCTGGCAACTTGGTAAACGACAGTTGGCGTCTCTGCACTGGCAGGCATGCACCAAAGATTGAATGCATCTTTGTATCGATAATTTCCTAACCTCCTACATTGCAGAAACGAGAAAAGTATAAGTACATGTAACATCTGCAATATTTTATAACAACTACAACATGGATATTTTTGGAAGAAGCCGACAAGTTACCTGTAGATTTGTCTCTTCTGCAGCCGCCGACGAAGAGCCAGTGTTGGACATAAGATTGTTCGTAACAGGCGTTGAAACGTCCGACAGACGTTGCGATGCAGACGCAGAGGTACCGCCTAAGGACTCCGACAATGCCACCGTCAAATTAGTTTGGTTCGTTGGCGTCATGTTGCGCATTATTTCAACCATACGAGACATCCACATGTTCCGTGGCAGGTCATCCACCTTAGCCTTGACGAGAACGCGGCACATCGGACAGCGTAACTCATGAGAGGTGCTAACAATCATCTCCAAGCACTTCTCGCAGAACGTGTGCTGGCACGGCAGCATCTTGTTAAACGGGCTGAGCTGCTCCAGACACACCGAGCACTCAACCAATTCGCTCAGCATACTCTCCGCCGTCAAGCGATTCTTCAGTCGCATTCTTTTCGCCACTCCTCCTTTACAGTCCATCTAAACCTTACTCGCGATCCACCAACGTGCGTCTTATCTTCGGTGAAAAAAAATATTATTACTGGTTTATCGAGCAATGAGAAATCCTCGGAATTCCCCAGTACAGCAAGAGGTTTGTTTCCTGTTCCCGCACTGGTGAACTAGTGTGGTAAGCTAGACTGAGAAAAAATATACCTACTCCAATTTATTGCACCAGTGTAGCAATAGGCCTTTGGTCTTTACCTATCACGTGTCTCGTAACGTCTATAACGTAGAGAAAGATGTATGATACTTGCGCACGAGAATCTAAAGCGTCGTCTACAATAAGGCTAAAGCCTCCGCTACAATGATTCTCGGTTCTGTCTACAATGGTCGTAGTCGTAAGAATAATCGACTGCGATTGGCCAATTCTTATCGAGCGACTACGACTACGACCATTGTAGACAGAACCGAGAATCATTGTAGCGGAGGCTTAAGGCCACATGGATTGATTTTTCCGCGTAACGCGTATCGCGTAACGAATCATATCGTTCATTCTTTTGGAATGTTCCAACGGAAATGTCAATCGTCGTAATTCATTGGTTACGCGATACGCGTTACGCGGAAAATATCAATCCATGTGGCCGCACCCTAAAGCGGCGTCTACAATAACCGGCGTGGAGTAAGAAGTAAAGCCTCCGCTATAATGATTCTCGGTTCTGTCTACAATGGTCGTAGTCGTAAAAATAATCGACTGCGATTGGTCAATTCAGTCAGAACGACTACGACTACGACCATTGTAGACAGAACCGAGAATCATTGTAGCGGAGGCTTAAGCGTAGGCGTAAGAGAGCTACTTCCGGTTTAATAGAGCTGGAGTAAGGGCGTAAGCGAAATGAATTATTTTTATTTCTTACGCCTACTCTTACTCTTACGCCTTTTCACGCATGCCTACAACACCTACTTCACCGTATTGTAGATTGAGTCGGCGTAAACAGCTTACGCCAAAAATGTTACTCCTACTCCTACTTCTTACTCCACGCTTACGCCGGTTATTGTAGACGACGCTTTATCATTGACCTTTGATATAGACATGCAGGAGGAATTTGCCTTTGTTTCTTATAAGCCGTAAGTATCTCTTCTTCTTCTAATTATAACGCCCGGCTCCTGATAAATGTAGGTATAGCTGACACGGCCACGACGAACTACAATAGATGTTGTAGAATTATAGACGATTAATTGGTGATATACAAAGCGAGGGCCCCGACTATCGGGTCTCGCGCGGGATGATGCAACCCGCGAGTCCACGGAACCTAAAGGCTGGTCTACAATACATGGAGTAAGCTGGAGTAAGCTGGAGTAAGCTGGAGTAAGGAGTAGGAGTAAGGAAATAAATCCATTTTATTTCTTACTCCTTACTCCAGCTTACTCCATGTATTGTAGACCAGCCTTCAGGGATCCACGAAGCTAAACGCGAGACCTAAGCGAAAACCGCGAAACACCTAGCTACTATCTCTATCTACTCACACAACCCTACTCCTAACCTTGAACTTCGCCTAACGATTCTCTTTGCTCTTCACTCTTACGAGCTACGCAAGCACACCCGAACCCTAACGACGCTGTGGTACGAATGAGCGAGAAACGAGCGAAATAGTGTCGGGTCGAAAGTTCGACTGTTCGAGACGACGTTGCGCGCGCATGCGCAGAGGGGGAGCCGCCGATGACGACGCGACCGATGATTGGCCGAACGGCGCGGTAGCCGCGTACTTTCCCCGAAGGGCGGTATTCCTTGTAGAAATTTTTCTTCTATCCTTCTTCGGCGCGTAACGAACGACGAGGATAGACGCTGTCTAGCAGCGTAGATTTATACTTCTGCAAACATCCCAAGCATTAGCCAAATGTCCTTATCTGCGTCGTCTTTAGACGATCGTACGTTGAGATCCCGTACGTTGAGCCCGGACGTTGAACCCGCCCGCCTTTTATCTTCGTCGTTCGTTACGCGCCGAAGAAGGATAGAAGAAAAAATTCCACAAGGAATTCTTCTTCTTCTGGTAATGGCACTCGGCGCCCAGCAACGGCTGCCGACACGGCCAATACGAGTCGTTCCTTACACGCTAAAAGAAGGAGAATTTATTCCACAAAGAACACCGCCCTACGGGGAAACTACGCGGTTGCCGTGCTCTTATATAAAGGATTTATAATATCCTATCTAGTACTATAATAAATATTTGCGGTAAATTAAAAATAAATATTTGTCAAATATTTACAAATGTTATTTGTTAGGATCTCCAGATCCTTTTTCAGAGCATTTCTGATATATTTTTCAACCATTTTTAAGATATTTATAATATATTTTTATGATCTAAAATTGCAAAAGTATATATGCAATGTTCTGGGACTCGAGTTCAACCTAAATAGCAACGTTATTTGTCGTCATTTTGACGCCGAAATGTTCAAAATGTTCTAGTAAATGACAAAATGACGATAAATAACATTAGTTTGCTATTTGGGAACACCACAGACACAACCGCAAGCACCAAGGAGAAAAGCAGGAGAAAATAAAAGTAAGTGGAAAAAAAGATTGGTTTTTAATAGTGAAATGATTACATGATAGGATAGGTAGTATAGGTATAAAACATATTTAAAAATAAGACGTTGATATTTTGAATAAAATAGCGTAAGGTAACTAGCGATAAGATAAATGTAGCTTGAACAAAATTTAAAGTCATTTCGAGGCCGTGTCCCGACTACTTCGAGCGGTGAAGAATTTGCTAGTTGCCCGGACTCGTTCAGTCCGAACAGTGTTTGCATGTTAACGGACTGTTGTACATTGGTTGCAGCTACCGATGCGACGAATATGAGTGTGGTCGTGGATACCTTCCGATTACCGCCTACTGCGACCGTACCGGGATCGGAATTTTAAGGAATTAATACGTTTAGAGCGACGTCTTATTTGTTGTACAACACCGACTACGGATTCTTCTGGTGCAGCTGAAACATACATGGGCGCCCATCGCGTGTTGCTTTTCGCGGAAAAATTTATACAAGTCGTATTTGCTATTTTTAACAGAATAGAAAAATAAAATATAACGAAGTATACTTTTCGTATGCTAGGTCCATGGTATATAGACGTATAAATAAATTATATAAAATGTTTTAAATTTAAAAGAGAAATCCAACCAGTTGATAGATTTTTATAATAAAACGCAATTCGCTCTGTGTTTGAGGTTGCGCTAATCTAACGTTGCCCAGAGGCCTTAGAAACTCCAACAGTATTAGAGGATGAGTATCCGCCACTCTAATGTCCCTACTATCGCTTTGGTCAGGTGAGAGTCCCGGTGTTGTTGTCAGTAATTGAGGAATGGCTGAATGGCCATTGTTGGTATCGTTCCGAGTTGACTCATGCTTGGCGAATGACTTCTTAATGTAGGTGGTACCGCCCCGACAGGATTCGACGCCCCTGGCATAATGGTACCTACATTTGAAGGTGCGCATTGTCTTAGTCCAGGACCAGATGTTCCTGGTGGTGGTTGCTGCTGCTGCTGCTGCTGAGCTTGTAGCTGCTGTTGTTCCTTTCGCTTTTGTCGTTTCTCGTCTACGTTATTAGATAAATCGTTCCTATACACACACATATATATATATATATATATATATAGATACATTATTTCGGTTAACTAGTAAAATAAAAAAATTTTACTTTTAAAAAATCGGTTAATTGAAATATTGTTCTTTTTTAATTAAAGAATAGTTATTAAAAAATTGATTAATTAAACACTTCTAGAAAACTAAAGAATATTTTAACATGGAAATGTTGTTACATACCAAGTTCTTTGTGAATCTTGTAAATTTCCTCAGCTAGCAGATGATAATATTCCGTTCGAGAGTTGGCTATTTCGTACATGTCACCTTCCACCTTCCTTGCGTACGCGACCACCTGGTGCATTCTATTATCGAGCCTAGCTTGTGGATCGGGAGTCGGAAATATTGCTTTAACTCTGAGAAAACAAGAAAATAAGCTATATGTAAGCGTATATAATAAGCAGACGTGCTGAATCGCGAGTTACGAAAGAGGATGTGCCATTGCATACATATATGATAAAACTCTTACTAACAATTTATGAACCAGATGGTTCCTGAGCTCTGGAGTGACAGAGAGATGCCACTCCTTCGTTCCTTGCACCGGCGTCGCTGTGACTTGACCGGGTTGAAGACCGCCTGGAAGCTGTAGATTCGCTAATCTATTTTCCCTGCCTATTGCGCTAGGTTGCCCGGACTCGTTCAGTCCGAACAGTGTTTGCATATTAACGGACTGCTGTATATTGGCAGCGGCCGCTGCTGCGGCGGATGATGGTCCGGTCGTGGGTACCGTCTGATTGCCGGCTACCCCGACCGTACTAGGATCGGAATTTAAAGAAAGAGATACGTTCGGAGCGACTACTTGTTGTCCGGCACCGACTACGGATCGTCCCGGTGCAGCTGAAACACACATGGGCGCCCATAGCTTGTTGTTTTCCACGCAAAAGTCTATACAAATCATACTTTGTATTTTTAACAGTACAAAAAATAATATAACAAAGTATATCTTTCGTATACTAGGTCCATAATACACAAACGTATAAATAAATTTTATAAAATGTGTTAAAATTAAGAAAGAAAGAGATCTAAGTGCATACAAATGTAACACCACCTGCTGCTGTATCAGTCTACACTTCTCAGAATCAGGCGTTGATTTTGTGCCTAAACGCACCAAATGAAGTTCGCATTGAGCGAAGACGCGACACAAGTAACACGACTTACAACAGTGCGAGGTAAACTTACCCGTTGGAGCGCCAGTACCAGTCATTTGCCCTTGCGTAGCTTGCTGCGAACCTGGCTGCCCTTCAGTCAGCGCACCCGATTGAGGTTGAGCCAGGCTCGATGTCGACTGTGCCTGTTGCGCTGCAGAGATGCTGTCTGAGGACTCCGACGATGGCCCTGCCAAATTAGTTTGGTTCGTTGGCGTCACGTTGCACATTACTTCAAGCATACGACACAGCCACATGTTCCGTGGCAGTTCATCCACCTTAACCTTGACGAGAAGGCGGCACATCGGACAGCGTAACTCATGAGAGGTGCTAACAATCGTCTCCAGGCACTTCTCGCAGAACGTGTGCTGGCACGGCAGCATCTTGTTGAACGGGCTGAGCTGCTCCAGACACACCGAGCACTTAAACAATTCGCTCAGCATACTCTCCGCCGTAAAGGGATTCTTCGGTCGCTTTCTCTTCGCCACTCCTCGCTTACGGTGCATCTTCATCTTACTCGCGATCCACCGACGTGCGTCTTGTCTTGTCTTCGGTGAAGAAAAAAAATTAATGGTTTATCGGGCAATGAGAAATGCTCGGAATTCCCCAGTACAGCAAGAGGTTTGTTTTCTGTTCCCGCACTGGTGAACTAGTGCAGTAAGCTTGAATGAGAAAAAATACACTTGTCCTACTCTAATTTATTGCACTAGTTCACCAGTATAGCAACAGGAAACAAGCCTCTGGTCTTTACCTATCACACGTGTCTCGTAACGTCAATAACGTAGGCAAAGATGATTTTTGGAGCCAGGAGCCAACAAACTCATCAATAAGTAGGCAAAGATGTATCACAGTTATACTGTAGATGTGTGATATATGCGCACGAGAATCTTATCTTCGACCTCTGATGTGTGCGAAAGATAAACGTATACGAGTGATACTCGTCGCCTCTACGCACGCGTCAAAATCATCGTCTGCACTAAAGTTTCGACACTCTCTGCACTTAATGTCCGAACTGCTCTGTCAAGACATCTCATTGTGCCGGACGAAATTCCAGTCTGATTCTCGTCTATCCCGCAATGATCCCACAAATCTAGCGCCGTAAACGAGTACCGCGCTGATAACAAAAGTTCGCCCGACGGTCGTTCCGTCCAAGACCGAGAATCGGACCTGTAGAAAATGAGAAAAGGCCCGGTAACGTTATGGTAATTGTACATACACCATCCTTCCTGCCGGCGACTTTTCTCGCATCGCGAATTGACGGAACTACAAACGGAAGACGTAAACGAAAGATTCGCCAATTGCCTGATGTCTGAGGAAACTCCATTTTCTCCATCCTTTCTAATTATTATTATATAATTATATGTAATTATATAATATATATTATATAAATTATATCATTTCTTTTGAATTAGTTCAAAAAGTAAAAATGGGCGTAAGAGCGTACAAAACAGTCTCCCGACACGGTATCAAGTGAAACGCCGACGTGACCGCTTGCAGGTTTCTCTCTGATAACGAAATGTGATAACAAATCCATTCACCTTCGTTCATTACAAAGCATAGGTATAAGTAGAAAAACTTTTGTCACCTCACGCGTCTTACGCCAGCCGAGAACATTCAAATAGCAAGTTGGCGAACGTGGGTCTTTCCAATTCTAAAGTTCTACAAATGCGAGGTATACGCGACAGTTTGTAAAGGGTGCTGCAAAAAAGAGAGAGGAAAGAGGGTCTCACCACCGTTCCTTGTGCACCAAGTCGCACACTGTACGAAAGGCGAAAAATAAAGATAGGATGTATTTTTGCGATTCTTTGAACAATTGTGTAACAATATTCACAATCGACATACATTGCTCTTATCTATACATTGCAAGTGTTACAAAAATATCCGTTCTGCGTTTTCTAAAACTATGAAAGCGTCGGTAGTAAAAGTTGCGAAACCTGGCGGGCATTGTCCGGCTCATCAAAATTAACACTTTTTTTTGTTCATATAAAGACCTTCAAAATAACTTTCCCAAGCGTACTAGCAGCTTGTTGTGAATTTCTATTTTGTGGATGTGGTGATGGCAACTATCCAATCACGACAACAGTATCGGTTAATTATGAGGGAAAGAACAAATTGGACGTCCTGACGCCAGGTTTTATCGCAACTTCAGTCGTCATGGCAACGTTTGGGGTCTGTTCATCTGTTGTTCCAGCCTGCATTGCAGCTACAGGGCCTACAGTACAGGTCCGGTTGGCCTCGTATTCATCCCAGACAATTACTTCGTAGGTGACTAAACAACAAACGTTTTCGTCATATAAGATATTTAGCTACAGAGAGACAGGTTTATTTAAATTTAAAAATAAACAAGAAGTAAAATAACTTAAAACGATATATTATTCAGAGTGAAAGTGATTGAAAGTCAAGGCATAAGTCTTCTGAGTAAATTGAAAACCGTTAACAATATTTAAGGAAATGTGAAAAGGTCAAATATATTGACTCAGTTTAGATACAGCATTCTGCAATTCACTATTTAACAAACGTCGACAGAACAATGCTTGAAAGAAGACAATAGGATGTATATTTTAATTTGCATTAGCGTAAAAATATGAACGCAAAAAATCGATGATTCCACTAACCTAAGCAGTTCCGCCTCTTGCATTTGACGCTTCAATAGAACCTCCTTTATTCCCTGCTTAAAGCCGGAGCAGAGTGAAACGAGACAGTTGGTCTCTTGGCAGAATGCCGCATGATAACAATACAGCGCCATCAGCTCTTTACATACAGGACAACCTTTACGCTGTCTTTTGCAGATACTCGAATGCATCATCATTTGCTTCATCTCCTGGCAACTTGGGAAACGACAGTTGACGTCTAAGCAAATGTGGGCATGCAGCAGCAAATGAAGGCGTCTCTGTACCAATACTTCCCTATCCTCCTACATTGCAGAAACGAGAAAGATATAAAGCCCGCTGCAGACGCTGCTATTTTTCCTGCTGGATTGCTTGCAATCTAATAAATTACCATCACTGCAGCACTCAGGATTTCTAGTAATTTACTAAATCGCGAGCAATCCAGCAGGAAAAATAGCATCGTTTGCAGCGGGCCGACAAGTTACCTGTTGACTTGTCTCTTCTGCATCCACCGACGAAGAGCCAGTGTTGGAGATAAGATTGTTGGTAACAGGCGTTGAAGCGTCCAACAGACTTTGGGATGCAGAGGTACTGCCTAAGGACTCCGACGATGCCACCGCCAAATTAGTTTGGTTCATTGACTGTTGCAGAAGCACCAATTTGTTAAACAATTCCCTCAGCATACTCTCGTCCATTGCCACGAGCTTCTTCGACTTTCCGTGTCTTCCTCGACCGTATCTACTCCGGATCCTTGTCGCTACGCTTGCACTCGCTTTATCAAGATGTACTTCCTCACCTAACTCTCTAAAATTGTTCTCCTTTAATTTTTCTCGTTCTTTGTTTTTCACCGCTCCTCGCCTATAGTCTGTCTGCAGCGAATACTCGTGATTTCTCGCCGCTCCTTTGTCGACGAGAAGAAATGGATGGCTTATCGGACAATGAAGAATTCTCAAAATTCCTCTAGCCCAGCATGTTCTTCACCTATCACGTGTCAGTTACGTAGGCAAAAATGTATTACACATGCGCACGAAGATCTTATCTTTGACAATAGTGGTCTAGTTTCCACCGAAATCTTCAGTCCGATTCTAGTGCAGTATCAGAGATAGGAATGTTCGATTCTCTGAAAAGAATCGATTGATGAAAATAAATTCTCTTAAATGACAGCCACTGCCATAATTCTCGACTATGATTTGGTCTATTCGTTCACTGCTTACATCTTATCATATATTATCTTCATTTACATTAACTTTTCTCATGTAGACAATGTAAATTTTATAAATTAGATGTCAGAATGCACAGCACAGACATGAACCAAGTGGAAATTTTATCGGCAGAGTCCGAAAATGCGCAATGAAATAGTTCTGCAAGTAAAAATGGGCGTAAGAGCTTACAGTAACAGTCTCCCGACACGGTATCGAGTGAAACGCCAGCGTGACCGCTCTCAGATTTCTCTCTGATAAGTCCCAGTCTACAATAGATGATTTAAGCCCTAAGCTTTAAGAAATTGGCCAATCACGGTCAAGTATGAGAAGAATGCGCGACTGTGATTAGTCAATTTCTTAAGGCTTAGGGCTTAAATCTCTATTGTAGACTGGGACTAACGGAAAGTCACAACAAATCCATTCGCCTTCATTCATTACAAAGCATAGATATGATAGAAGAACTTTTGTCTCCTCACGCGTGTCTTACGTCAGCCGAGAAAAATGAAATGGCAAGTCCGCGAACGTGGGTCTTTCCAATTCTACAGTTCTACAAATGCGAGATATGCACGACAGTTTGTAAAGGGTGCTGTAAAAAAAGAGAGAGGGAAAGAGAGTCTCACCTCCGTTCCTTGTGCATCAAGTCGCACATTGTACGAAAGGAGAGAAACAAAGATAGGATTCTTTTAATAATAATGTAACAATATTCACAATCGACATATATTGCTCTTATCTATACATTGCAAGTGTTACATAAAAAAAATATCAGTTCTGTGTTTTCTAAAATTATGAAAGCGTCGGCAGTAAAAGTTGTCGAACCTGACGGGCATGGTCCAGCTCATCAAAATTACGTTTGGGGTCTGTTCATCCGTTGTCCAGCTGTATTCCAGCTACCGAGCCTACAGGTCCGGTTGGCCTCGTATTCATCACAGGCATAAATTTCGTATGCGACTAACCAACAAACATTTTTGATATACAAGATATTTATAGCTACAGAGATAGACAAGTTTATTTAAATTTAAAAATAAACAAGAAGTAAAATAACTTAAAACGATATATTATTCAGAGTGAAAGTGATTGAAAGTCAAGGAGTAAGTAAGTCTTATGAGCAAATTGAAAAACGTTAACAATATTCAAGGACATGTGAAGAAGTCAAATATATTCACTCGTCTCAGTTTAGACACAGCATTCTGCATTTCATTATTGAACAAACGTCGATAGAACAATGCTTGAAAGAAGACAATAGAATGTATACTTTAATTTGCATTAGCGTAATAATACGAACGCTACAAATCGATGATTCCACTAACCTAATCACTTGCGGCTCTGGTTTCAATTGAAACTTCTTTAATCCGCTCTTAATTTTGTGACAGAATGTAGCGGGACAATTGGTGTCTTGGCAGACTAGTGCGTGATAACAATACAGCGATATCAGCTGTTTACACATGTGACAACCGCCTCTTATCCTACTTTTGCAGATATTCCAATGTGTCAATACTTGTTTAGTCCACTGGCAACTTCGAAAACGACAGTTGGCGTCTATGCAATCCCTGACATGCATCAACGCTTGAATGCGTCCCTGTATCCTTAATTCCCTAGCCTCCTATATTGCAGAAACGAGAAAGATATAAGTACATGTAACATCTGTAATATTTTGTAACAACTACAGCATGGATATTTTTGGAAGAAGCCGACAAGTTACCTGTCGATTTGTCTCTTCTGCAGCCGCCGACGAAGAGCCAGTGCTGGACATAAGATTGTTCGTAACAGGCGTTGAAACGTCCGACAGACGTTGCGATGCAGACGCAGAGGTACCGCCTAAGGACTCCGACAATGCCACCGTCAAATTAGTTTGGTTCATTGGCTGCTCCTCACACATCAAGTTCTTAAATAATTCGCTCAGCATACTCTCGTCCATCGCCACGTGCTTCTTCGACTTTTCGTATCTTCCTTTGTCGACGAAAAGAAATGAACGGTTTGTCGGACAATGAAGAATTCTCAAAATTCCTCCAGCCCAGAATGTTCTTCGCCCGTCACGTGTCAGTTAATAAAAAATTACATCAATATTAACATGTTTCATTAAAAATTTGGAAAAGGCGATTTAGATAATACATATAGTACAAATGTTTTACCGGCAGACATGCGAAAGTAACGAAACCAGCTGTTGTTTGAGACACTCCTCAGACCGAAGCGTTTGATCTTGTCCCTAAACGCACCAGATATAGTTCGCATTTAGCGAAGATGTGACACAAGTAACACGACTTACAACAGTGCGAGGTAAACTTATCCGTTGGAGCGCCAGTACCAGCCATTTGTCTTTGCGTAGCTTGCTGCGGACCTGTTTGCCCTCCGGTCGGCACATATGATCATTTAAATATAAACATACTGGAAGGAGCACTCCATTGTTTTCGTGCGGTCGGCATAGTTAAGTTAGGACCGTGCTATTCTTGTCAAACTACAGCGATCACTGACTCGATATACTACACAGCATCACATACCCCAATTAAGCCTATATACACAATAGAAAAGCACAGGCAATAGGAATAAGAAATAGAAATACGGACTAGAAAGCTATGTAATGCCAAGACACAATGATTCGTTGGCAATAGAAGTGCTGTTTGAAACCACGTGCCTGTCCCAGTCTCAACCGTGATTGGTCAGGTAGGTCAGGTACAGAGAGGGAACAGAAATCCAACGCGTCCAGTACTAAACCTTGTGCTCGTAATATGTCTTTGTAATCCGCAGAGGGGATTAAATCGTGCAATCCTTTAACGAACCCACGGACTCGTGTTCAGTCCAGGTAGCAAACGTCATTTGTCATTTTAAATGACAAAAAACAACAAATAACGTTGCTTCTTGTCTGGGAACACTCCCACACAGACACTATCACCAAGGGAAAAGAGAAATAACGAACAGGAGGTCGAAAAGACGATCGGTTTTGTTAAAAGTATTATACATTAGGATATATAAGTAGAGAGTGCAACTCTGCATTGACTGAAGGAGCCCTTACGTTGTATAACTCGGAGGAAAGGTTGAAGGCGCTACTAATCCTCTTTTCGAAGGAAAAAAAAATTGAGAAAAACGTGTTGCTGCAAAATACTTTAATATATTACACACATCACATATTGAAAGAGTACAGTTTGGATGCAGTTTCATTTTCTTCTTTCACTTTGTCTTAATTATTACACGAAAATGAAAAGTAATCATAATAATTATCCAAACATGATTGAACGATATACACATATTAAGCGACAAAGTAAATAATCTGGTTAATAAAATAGTATAAAGTATCTATTAATAAGTTATCTGCAGGTTGATCGCAGTTTGGTCAAAGCCGTTCAAAGTTCGATTATTTCGAACGGCAAGGGATTTTCCTGTCTCGTGGGCATTAAAATATTTTCGGCCGTTAACAAGAATCTTTTCATCAACACGAGCTAAAGTTCGCGACAAGTGATTGGTTAATTCCGTTCGTCCTTCGTCATGTATTATTGCTGGTTCCCTTACTCCTCCTTTCTCTCTTTCTTTCTCTCTTCCAATATTGATGCGACCATACGAAAAGAGACGGAAAAACAATTTGTACTATTTGTACATATTATTTGTAAATACCGTTGGTCAGTATTGTTGATCTCTCATGATCTCTGCTAAAAGATGCAATTTTTGCAGCTTTTTGTCCGCCCTTGTCACCCTCTGCGACGGCGCGGGTATTAACGATGATGGACCCAGGAACATCGTTTCCGAAGAGAAGAGCTCTGGATTACTGTGGATATTTGATATGCATGAGATATGCTCAAGTAAAACACAATGGATATTAATTTGCATTAGCGCAATAATAAATATACAAATATACAAAAGATCGACGATTTCACCAACCTGAGCAATTAGGCTTGGAAAACCTTGCTGCATATGCGTGGAAATACTTGCTGCAATTGTCGTATCTTGGGCTTGATGTCGGAGCACAATGGAACAAGACAGCGCGTCTCCTGGCAGTCTTTCGCGTGGTAACAACACAGCTTAATTAACTGTTTACACTTAGGACAATTGTACCTTGGCCTTTTGTTACAGTTCTTTGTATGCCTTAAGACTCCTTTTACCCTCTGACAATTCGGTGAACAACAGTTGACGTCTCTGCACAGAGAGCCATGCTCAAAAAATTGAATGTATCTCCGTATCTGTATCGATATGGCACTCTACATGACAGAAACAAAAACGATACAAGCGCATTACAGGTTTATTCGAATTACAACATGTCTCTTAAATATAAGCCGACAAGTTACCTGTGGCTTCGCACCCGCCAGCTCAGAGTTGACGGTAGATACTCGGCCGCCCAACAGCCGTTGGGGCGCGACGGTGCCGCCTGGAGACCCCGACGATGGCCCCGCGATGTTGGCGCGTTCCATCTTCGCCGCTTGTTTCATCTTCGCGTTGCACATCCTTTCAAGGATACGCACCAACAAGATGTTCGGTGGCAGATCGTCCACCTTGGCCTCGACGACGAGGCGGCACATCGGACAGCATAGCATGCGATGCGCGGTCACTATAGACTTCAAGCACGTCTCGCAGAACGTGTGCTGGCACGGCAGCATCTTGCTGGACGCGTTGAGCCGCTCCAGACATACCGAGCACTCAAACAATTCGTCCAGCATACTTTCGTCCATTGTCGAGCGACCCTTCGGCTTCTCGTGCCAACCGATCGGTCGTTCCCTCGATGGCACTCCGGATTCCACGTCGCTGCACTCGCTCTATCGAAACGTTATGTCAGACCAAAATAGCCTTGTCTTGTTTTCGCTTCCTCGCATGCGGTCTCTCTCAGGCATCGGTCATCAGCAGTCATCAGGCGTACGTACCTTCGTCCCGGGCGAAATAAATGGATAGTTTATCGGGTCACTTTTTACTATATTAGCATCGTACTTCACCTCCGAGTGCAGGAATTCTTTCGGGCTGGTCTCCAATTACGAATCTTTTGAGTTGATCACAGACTTGAATAATGTGTTACGCATGCGCATGAGAATCTCGTCTCAACCCTAACAGCACAGATGACGGAAAGTCGACTGTTAAAACTGACGGAAAGTCGACTTTCCGATTAAAAGTCGACGTAAAGTCGACTAAAAGTCGATTAAAAGTCAATTAAAAGTCGACGAAAAGTCGGCGTTTCTGCAGTCATTCGTCAACTTTTGTCGACATCAAGTCGACTTTCGTCCTAAAAAAAGTCGACTTTTCGCCAAGTCATATTTCGGAATAGTCGACTTTAAGTCAACTTTCCGTCGACTTTTTGCTGTTAGGGAAGAGATTTGTTTCTCTGTAATAATAGCATTGTCTCTGGCGTGAGAAGTCAAAGCAATACGATTTCTGCAGGGCGAAAAAGGGCATTCGAGTGTAATCCCTTGGAATCCCTCGGAATAGGAGACTGGACAGATCGAGTCTACTTTTCATTGGACGTGAACTATCATGGCGGAACCAATGGCTGTAACGGAACTTCCCCTGCACAGTCTACTAGCGGGCGGTACGAGTAAAAATAAAGAATTACGAAATTGAATACAAAATTACATTGATATCAACACTTTTTATTAAAAATTTGGAAAAGGCGGCTGGGATACGTATAGCACGTGTGTAATAATTGTTTAACTATGTATAGATATTATAACAAAAGAGAAAGCACGCGTGTGCACGCTAGAAGCCTAAATAATCAGAGACGAGACTGCCATTGATTTTGCCTATTTTCTCCTATTTCTTTTCGAGTTGCTAGAAGGAAGTAGGAAAAAAAATAGCAGCTTCGATACGTGAGAGACGCATTTCCGGTTATCTAGGGCCGGCATTCATTGTCGGATCTTACATTTAAGATCGTCTCAAGATCGTCTTTAGACACTCTGTAGTTCATAGTCTTGAATATAAGATCTGTCTATAAATACTGGTCTATAGGAGTGTGCGCGTCCAGCTTCGGCAAGTTCCGGCCGACTTGAGACGGCTTTCGACAGTAGAAGTTAAACACGCGGTCTCTTTCTCTCGCTGCTCCGAGCGCTGTCAGCCGATGTAGCGCTTGTAATATGCTTTGTAATCCGCAGAGGGGATTGACGCGTACAATCCTTTGGGCTTAACGAACCCACGGACTCGAGTTCAACCCCGGCAGCAAGTGGCAGCAACGTGGTTTGTCGTCACTTGACACCGAAATGCCATTAAGAAATATTATTTTAAACGTCAAAAGAGAACGATAAATAACGTTAGCTTGCTATCTGGAAACACTACTCTAGTAGCGCAATGCATTGACCAAACATTGGTTAAACATTGGCCCAATGCAACCAAATATTGGCCCAATGTTTAGCCAATGCACTGTGGCTACTAGGGTACAGATACACAGACACGCTCGCAAACACCAAGAAAAACAGCGAAAGAAAATAAAGAGAAAGAGGAAAGAAGATTGGTTCTAATGTTGAAAGTATTGCATGATAGAGAATACGTAAAGAATATAGAGCTATCTCTGGTACTGGCTAAAAAATCCCTTGCTACAACTTAAAGGAAAGGTGTCGAAGACGCTAATCCTCTTTTCAAAGGGAAAATAAACAAAAAAATGTGTCTCTGTAAAATATTTTAATATATTACAAACATGTACATACACATTGCAAGAGCGTAGTGAAGTGTGCAAGGGTGCAATTTCGATAGGAAGTTTCAGATTCACTTTGCTCTAATGTTAATTAATTTACCGCAGTAAAATGAAAAATCACAATTTTTGCTCATCGAAAGATAATCGAACGATACATATTAAACGACAAAGACGTAACTAATGTTGAGTAATAAAACAGTGTCGGTATCTGTCGATAAGTTAGCCGTAGATCGATCAGCATTTCGTCAAAGTCGTTCCGAGGCCGTGTCGCGATTATTTCGAGCGGTAAGGAAGAAACGTGTTTGGGATGATTTACAAAATTTCACAGCACTTGGATACCTCGGGCCGCCGCGTTCCGTTTTTATCGACTCCACCCTTCTCCCCGCTCGAACGCCGGAGCGCAACGGTGCGGATTCGCGACGCTCGCGTAAGGGCAATGCCGCGCCGCGCATAATGCGGGGAATAGCACTTAATTTGCAATTCAATGGGCCGACGCCGTAGACGGGTGCCGGTCGATATTCGAATCCGGTTCACGTCTATCGCGCCGTAATCCCACAAATCGGGCGCCGCGAGCGGGAACCGCGCGGATAACAAGTCTATCCGACGCGGATCGTCCCGTTCGCCGGCCGAGAATCGGCCCCGTAGAAAGTCAGGAAGGGCTCGTCGACGCCACGGAGATCTCGGCGTCAGGTTCCTTCCTGTCGGCGACTATTCTCGCGAGCGATTATCGTATAATCGGGAGACGGGAACACTCGCGGGTTGCCTGGGGTCGATAAAATCACGTTGTTCCCATCCCTTCCTCGCGCTGAAACGCGTTCTCCGCGACGAGGATATTTGCGCCTCACGCGTGTAGGGCGGGGGGGGGGGGAGGGGAAGGGGGGGAGGAAGATGGCAAAAGGAGATGAGTTTATGTGCTCTGCGTTACACGCTTCTTTATTTTACACGTTTTATATACAGAAAAGAGAATACATAAAAAAAAAATACGTGGAAAGAAACCGCTAAAGAAACAGTAAAGGGAGGGAAAGGAGAAAACGTAGAGATCGAACGACAAAAATATACAGCGAAGCAAATCAGTCGCACGGAGGTGATAAGTATCTTAGCCATTAATCAACGTCGCCCCAATGCGCGAGGGTCAGATCCGCGTGACGCCGGTCGCTTTTCCGTCGGGAGTAAAACGAACGTGGGCGCAACAACGAAGGCCCGGGATGCGATAATCCGTCCCTCGGGCGCTCGTCCACCCTCGTCGGCGCCTCGATTTTTTCCCCTCCCCGCGCGGAAACCGCTTCTCCGCTCCCGCGAGGGAAACCATTAAAAATCACTACTAACGCGTAGGCTCAAAACGACTCGATAAAAATCGCCCCGGTTCGTCAACTCGCTCGGACCCGGTTGCGGGTCGAACGCCCGGATTTCAGGGATAACGAACGCACGACAGAACGGCTCCCTGTCTCCTCTCCTTTTTTTCCCCCCCATTAAATTTCTACAAAGAGCCTCTCTCTCCTCTCTCTCTCTCTCTCTTTCTCACCGTCGCTATGCAACTCGTACTAAATTCTAGTCTATCGTACACATTTTATACATTGAGCGCATCGTCGGAGGCGTCGACGTCCACCGCTCTCCGCGATAGGTGTTGGGGTGCAATGACATTCGTTACACGTGTCGTTCGCACGCGTGGAACGCGTACACGTCCCGGGAGGGGGGGGGGAGACTATGAACTTCCTCCCCTTGTTCGGCGTCGTTATCGCGCGGCGCGAGGATGCGAGTGTGCGTGCGTCGGGGAGTAAAATGGTGAAAAAACGACGAGGAGGGAGGGGGGGAGGGGAGGGGCGGAGGAGGAGACCCGGACGATCGCGTTTCGGACTTTGATCCTACGCGCGGAGAATGCGTATCCCTTCCGGCATCGAGGATATCGTTTATGCGCTAGATTTACAGGTCCCTACGCGATCGAAAAAAGCGATCGTCTTGGCGAACGGCAGGGCGCGTCCTTCGCGATTATCGGAGAGTATCTCTCAGCGTCCTTGGCGAAGTGCGTCAATTAGATTTACCCTTTATTCGATATTTATTAATTGCTATATCTCTACGCGCTGGCGGCGATTAATTATTGGAGATCCATGTTTTACAAAGTATACTTCTCTCTCTCTCTCTCTCTTTCACTCTCACTCTCACTCTCTCTCTCTGATAAAAATGATCATCGCGATCACGTGAAAAAGGCGTGTCTGAAAACGCACAGGTACAAACACATGCGGTGCCTCCGAATGACGAAACGCAAGGACTTTATTTCGTCAGATTCTTTCGCGTTTTGCGTTAACGGCATACAATGCATTTATGTATAAATATATACAAAAGTATGTGTGTCTGTATGTGTAAAGTGCAACGCTTCCTCATCTTTTACGTTGTTATTGCCCTCTGCAATTAGAGCGTTAATTGCCAGTTACGTGAATAGAAAATAAGGGAGAAACGAGGGGACCGGCGATGCACGGTGAAGAACGAGCGGAACCAATCGATTCGTCGCGAGCTTCGGTCCCAGCTCGCGTTGCCGGGAGGATCTTTGCGAGCGGCGAAAAATATTTTGAGAAAATGTGTCGTGGGAGCTCCTCGAAATCGAAACGCGAACGGGACCAAAGCGCGCGCGCGCGCGCGCGAGTAAATGGAGTTGTCGAGTCTACGGAAATCGAGTGGAAACTTGCGATCTTCTTCACGGCTGTCTCTGCAGCTTTTGCTTTAATCGATGCCACAATCTCTTGCGAGGACTAGCTTCGTTAACGATTTCGTCGGATTGAAAATGTATCGTCGCACCGGATTTTCGGCGACCTTGTGTCGATTGTTGGGTGAACCTGGAGTGTCACCGAGGCTGCAGTCGCGACGCGATTGTAAAATTACACTGGAAAGCTATAATCAATCGTGGATCACGATCCATTCGCGTTTGTTCGTTACGGAGTATTATGTGGCGAAACTTTAGCCTCCTCTCGCGTCAAACGCCAGCGAGGGAAATCCAAATCAGCCGAGTCCGCGAACGTGGGTCTTTTCGATTCTAGAGTTCTACGAATGCGGGATGTGAGCGACGGTATGCGAAGGGTGCTGCAGAAAAAAAAAAGAGCGAGGGGAAGAGGGTCCCACCTCCCTTCTTTGCGCATCAAGTCGTACAGTCTACGAAAGCCGGCGGAAAAATAAAAATGGAATGTATTTTCGAAACTCTTTCTTTTAATAATCATATAACAATACTCGTTATATTCACGATCAACATACATTACTCTTATCTATACGTTGCAAATGTTACATAAAAAAGATATCCGTTCTGCGTTTTCTAAAATTATAAAAACGACGGTAGCAAAAGTTTCGGAACCTGGCGGGCGGTGTACGTCGTCGCGCGCGACGTCTCCCTTTTATTCATTTTTTCTTTCTTTCTTTCCATCTGTGTCTTGTATTAACGCTAAAAACGATAGGTAAAAAAAGGACGACGGCGGGGGGGGGGGGGAGGGAGAGATATAAGTGTAACGTAACTAAAGTTTTTCCTAAGTCACTCTGCGGTTTCTCTTTCTCTCGATCGATCTTAGGACACGCGTCTAGGAATCGTTCCGCGAGAACGGCCGAAATCACGCCGGGCAAAAGGAAGGAACACACGCATATCATCACGTCACTGTGCAATCTCTTATCACGAGCGGCGAATGCACTATCGGCGCGAGGACGAGAGTGCTGTGCAACGAAACGAGGAAGAAAGAGGGAGAGGAGCCGAGGAGAGAACCTCCCTCTCTTTCGCCCGGGGCATATTTAATATATTCCTCTTGATGGTCGGGTGGGATGGAGGAAAAATGTTACTTTATGCGTCTCATTAATCTTTAATTAGATTATTAATTCACTATTTACGAAAAGTCATAATAAAAAGTAGTACTCTATATATTCGGTATTTCAATAATATTGTAATAATTATATATATATATATTTATATATTCTAATAGCTTTATCTGTAATTATCGTCTATAAATCGAATAATCAGTCAACTCATAATGCATCGTCGCGCGCGTGTACAGATCGCGGCTTATCTTCTTTTGTTTGGTACATATCAAAAAGAAAAAATTATAAGTATATTAAATATTTAAATATATATATATATATATACACAGTTGTGTGTGGCATTCAGCTCTCTTTCCCGTTCGTTTGTTCGCTCTCTCGCACTCTCTTCCTCTCTTATAATAATAAATCTCGTTACGAATGCCTCGTGCACCAACGAATCCCTCTCTCGTGGCATCGCTCTCCCTTTCTCCTCCGATAATTAATGCAACCGTCCGAGAAGAGAAAGAGAGAACAATGCCGGTCTGGTTGTAAGCACCGTTGGTTGGTATTGTCGATCAACCGTGTCTCGCTAAAGGGCTCGATTCTCGGCAGCTTCTCGTCCGCCCTTGCTCTCATCTTCGCGAGGGCGGAAGTTGACGATGGATCGGCCACGAACGTCTCCGAAAAGCTCTGCGCGATCTGAGTTTTCATTTCTTTCTTTTTGTCTCTCTCTCGATTGCCGTAGACGTTCGATATACATGGGATTTCCCTTCTCTTTAATCCCCCCCCGAGACTCATTTAACTAATCGGACGCGAGAGTTGGCACGCGCGGCGTTCGAACGTCTGTACTCTATCAAGAATGCCGCCACCCGCGAAGGTGAACGCCACTTTCCGTTTTACAGCACTGCCCTAAAAACACAGCCATACTAAGCCAAATACTTTTTTGGGTTTTGTCGTTTACACGATCACCTCTTTCTCTCGCTAGTGAAGTCGTTTAATTAAACATCTACACTCGATTACCGTTGTCAACTCCGTGCGTATTTTCCTAACAATTCTCGCTCGCTTTTCGCTGATTGTTCGAATTGAAAAAAAAAAGTTTTTTAAAATTAAAAACCAAAGAAAGAAAGGGGAAAGTGAGATGGGGAAGGAAAGGAAAAACCGCGTACGCGCAGAATGCGTCCACGATCCCGTTCGATCTTCCGAAGCCTCCAGCGTCCGATGATAAAAGCCGAATACAATAATTGGGGATGAAAAGGGGAAAAGCTTGGCCCTCTCTGTTCGGAACGGGCGATAGAAGCGGAACCGTAATCTAAAAGAAGGAATGTAACTCTTGGTGTGTACCAAGCTTTCTTCTCTCTTCTTCCTTCTTTTATCTCTATCTCTTCATTGCTTAATCGAGACTTCTCGCGTTGTTCGAGGGGAAACGAGCAAGGGGGGGGGGGGGAAGGCCGCGGAAACAAAATTTGAGTCCGCAACGCGCGTCGACGTTCGCCGGAAGTGTGAGCGTCGGCGAAGATGGACAGCGAACGTCGACGGTATCGGTCGCGTCGAGGAGCTTCGGAGGACCCCGATTGCACTCGTAACGATCCGCCCGAGAAGAATAGGTGCACCCGATCAAGGTCGACCGCTGACCTTGATCGAGTTCCGTCAAGTTGGCTCTCCCGCTCTTTCTTTCTTTATCTTCCTCTGCGCACCGTTAATACCGCGAGAGTGACTTAACGAGGAACACGATCAAAGCGCGTGCCGCTGAGAGTTGAAACGAGAATTCGTAGCGCATCGGTGTACCTGGAGTGAACGTGTACGTCTTGAACGGAGACGTGTACATATGCCGGCGTACATACGCGTATATTTTTTTCTGTGTAGCTAGTTTAAAGAGTATCGATGGGGTGTGTGTCGCTCGATAGTTAGCTCGCGAGCCTAGGAGTCCCGATGATCGCGAATCGTCCCTCGCTCTCTCTATCTCCCGGTTTTCACGTCAGCCTTGCTTTAATGCTGCTATGCGTGTACGTGTGTAATGTATGTACGCGTGTAGTTAGTGTTGAATCTTCCCTTCCTTCCGATTTACGTTTCTATCTCAATCGTCAGTTGACTTAATTGTACACGATATAGCTATTATACAAAGTATGCACTTCAAAAATATCCGACGCCACGGACCTTTTGAACCACAACATGCTCACGCACTCCCACGTTATTACTAAATCGTTTTAAATAGGTGACGAAGAAAAGGAACGGGGACGGAGGGAGGTGGGTGGGTCGGGGTGGCCGAGCGAAGGGGGCGGGGAGGGAGAGGACGAGGAGGAACTTACACTTAGAGCTTTACTATGATACAACACTGGCAATAGTCATGTAATGTGGTTCGGTGTGTGTTTTGTACGCGGGCAAAGTCTCTAACCCGTGTGTAGTAATAACGCGCGTGAACTCCTCTCTCACTCTCTCTTTCTCTCGTTTGTTGCAAATATTACATTAGATTTATGCATGAATTGATCATAGTAATAGATTAATGTTGATAATAATAATAATATATTATAATATATATAATAATATTAATAATAATAAATCAATAATGGGCAGGTAAATTAATATTCGTCGTAATAATAATCTAGTATTTACAGAGTTTTCACGCGAGGGCCCGGTATCGAATACGCATTCTCATTTCTTACATTTTGATTCAACTGTACACACGCAAGTGGACCCTCAACCGGAGAAAACTACGTCATTCTACGTCTCTTCCTTCATCAAAATTAACACGTTTCTTTTTTTCTTCATATAAACGTTCCCGCGCGCACTAGCAGCCTGTTGTGAATTTCTATTTTTTGGTTACGACAACGTTAACTCGTCACATGAGCGGTCCTCTCGATAAGGCGCGGTTGGAACCAGGCATCTTATCGAGAGGATCGCCGCCTTTCAAGTCCTACTGACGACCCGCGGCACTCGAGAGAATGCACGGAGTCACTCGCGATAAGATCCATAGAATTTCATGGTTTAAGGTACAACCTTGGGTGTGGCGCTTAGGGATCTCTTAGTAACAAATTTTCTTCCTTAAACGAACATATTACTTAATGTACGATCTAAATTATCTGTCTTCCCCCGTACATACAACGCTAGTGGATTCTTGCTATCTATATCATTTTATCTTTCATACAAGTCTTTATCATATACTTTGTGTTCTTCGTTATACGGTAATATTAATATACTGGTATATAATTGCATACAGTTACGATACTAATTACGAACTAGTAGTATTTGAACTATTAATTATTAATTAACGTTAAGTATACACAGCATACATATATGTATATATATATCCATATATATGTATATAAATGTATATATAAATATATAAATGTATACATACATATATTTGTACGATTTCACTCACCCTGCACGAGTAGCAGCGAGGAAGAGTGGTAGAGTCGAGGGGGGGCTCTGGAGGATACGAGGGGAGAATACGTAATAATAGTGTCTCGATAGTTTCGTTTAGTCTTTCGTTCCTCCTCGTCCTACCGAGTTGCATTTCTCTCCGTCTCTCTTTCTTTCTCGACCAAGGACGAAAACAATTTTGAGTCTATTTGAGCCAGGCCGAGTAGAATTGAAAAGCACCAACGTCGCGTCATCTTTCCCTCTTGTCCTTCGACGTATCGCATAATGTAGAAAATCGAAAGAGAAGATATGCGCGCGTGCGCGCGCGCGAACCGAGCGTCTCGTCCGCATCGTTGAGGATCGCGGAATCGGAAACTATCCTGTGGTCCTAAGGGAGTCCCAATCCCCAGGCGTGTCAGGCTTGAGCATCGCTCGACGGAACGCGCGTGTCAGGCTTTCTCATTCAGTCTCTATCTGCGCGCGCGCGCGAATTGCGAGATTAATTATCTAATAATTTCGCGAACGTTTCGTATTATTTATAAATTCACGCGACGCGGACGGTCGCAGCCGTCCGAGCGCCACCGTCGTAGTCGTCGTCTCCGTTAAGAGAAACACTTACATAACCATCGACCGATGTGATCGTCCGTAACAGTCACTACAACCCCTCGACGAATTTGGAAAGTTGGTCCTGCGGCGTCATTGGCGTCACCTCGTTGGCGTCTGCGCCGCCATTCGTGGGCGCCGGCGCCGGCGAGGGATGATGAGGCATAGCGGCGGGATGGCCGGTGGGCGCACCAGGACCGCCACCGAGTTGCGAGAGCATCATCTCGCTGGGACCGCCGCCGAGCTCGTGAGCCGGCGAATGCGTCGGCGTGCCGTGCGGCGGATGATGATGAGGCGATGGCACCGGACCCGACCGCGGCGACGGTACCGGCTGATTACGAGGGGAAGGGACAGGTCGCGGCGAGGGGTTGGGCTGTGGAGATCGGATGGGCGGTGGCGAACGAACTGACTGCATCAATTGTTGTTGTACGGAGATTCCCGGCGGACCCATGACGCCTTGCGGCGAGGGCACGGGCGGTGGAGTAGGTTTTAGACCCGGCTGGCCATAGCTTTGTTCGTTGAAACCTGCGTAACCTAGGGAGTTGGGCAACGGTTGGTGTCGAGAAAACACTCTACCACGTACTACTACAGCCCCATTGTTTTCTAAGTAATTACGACAGATCATGTAATTACCAAGAAGAGATGGTCGTATGGGTCGTTGTTGACCATACGGTGGTGCTGGCGGCTGAGTGAATGGCTGCTGCTGCTGCTGCTGTTGCTGTTGTTGCTGCTGCTGCTGCTGCTGTTGTTGCTGCTGCTGCTGCTGCTGCTGAGCTACCTGTTGTTGCCTCTGCATCGCCAGCATCTGTTGTTTGTACCACTGTGGCTGCTGCTGCACAGGCTGTTGTTGTTGGGCCTGCTGCGTCAGCATCTGTATCTGCAGTCTACCCTGCTGCTGCTGCTGCTGCGGCTGCTGCTGCGGTTGCTGCTGCTGCTGCGGCTGCTGCTGCTGGGACATCATATGCTGCAAACCAGGTTGTTGTTGCTGTTGGGGTTGATTAGGACCCAATGGGCCGCCGACTCCCCCGCCATGCTGACCAGGTTGTTGCTGATGGACAAGCGCCTTTTTATTAAGAAGACCATAAAATAGTCAAAACTGCGTAACACAATAGGCATTGCGTAACATTGTACATCTCTTAAAAAATGTTCATACACTCACTCGTTGCTTGATAAAAGCAGCCATCAACGGTGGATTGCTCTTGAGTATTTGGAGTATTTGGTTCTGCTGATCGGGCGTGTGCGGACTCCTGAGAGTCTGCATCAGCTGTTGAAGAGCATGCTTCTGCATGTTGCTTGTCTGTGGACCGACCTGTCCAACCGGTCCAATCACGCCCGGTTGCCGCGGCATTTGTGCACCCATTGGTTGAGCCTGATGATGCTGCTGCTGCTGCTGTTGCTGCTGCTGCTGCTGTTGCTGCTGCATCAGCTGTTGCGGCGTCTGCTGTCGCGCCAAATTGGGATTTTGTTGCATCACCGTATTTGATTGATACCTGCTGAGTTGAGAAAAATACTCACAAAATGCGCCGTTTTTCCAGTTATAATTCATTAGTTAAAGTTACTGATGAGGTGAGTCAGAAAGACATAAAAAAAGGTGTGAATTTAGTAGATACCTTGCCGTCCACTGATCCATCGGTATGAGATGCGTGCCGCTGGGATTCGGCATCTGAACCGGCAACGGGCGTTGCATCTGCGGCGGCGGCATCACCCCACCCGTTTGGCCGCCCACGCCGACACCACCGACAGGCGTCACCTTGCCGAAACTGTGCGGCGCCTGTTGCCTCGCTGCTTCTTCCTGCACCTGCTTCACCACCTGTAGAACATGTGCAGGAGGCGCCTGCGTCCCGGGTTTCAATCCAATACCTGGTTGATGCGGCGTCGGCAAACTCGACGTGCTGACGCCAGGTTTCATCGCGACTCCAGTCGTCATGGCAACGTTTGAGGTCTGTTGTCCAGCCTGCATTGCGGTTACAGGTCCGGTTGGCCTCGTATTCATCACAGCCATTCGCCTCCTATGCGAGTAAACGACCAACGTTTTTGATATATAGCGTATATAGATACAGAGATAGGTAGACAAGTTTAAGTGTAAAAAATTAACGAAAATGTAAAATAACTTAAAACGATATATTATTTAGAGAGAAAGCGATTAAAAGTCAAGGAATAAGTCTTATAAGCAAATTGAAAAACGTAGAGACAATATATAAGGACATGCGAAAAAGTTAAATATATTCACTTGTCTCAGTTTAGATAGAGCATTCTGCAATTCGCTATTTAACAAATGTCGATAGAACAATGCTTGAAAGAAGGCTATAGAATGTATATTTTAATTTGCATTAGCGTAAGACGAACGGAAAAAATAGACGATTCCACTAACCTGAGCAGTTGCGCCTGTTGTAATCGTTGCTGCAATTGTTGCTGCTTTATCTTGTGCTTGATGTTGGAGCAGAATGGAACGAGACACTTGGTCTCTTGGCAGTGTTTTGCGTGATAACAACACAGCGCAATCAGCTGTTTACATATAGGACAACCGCCATTTGTCTTTCTTTTGCAGTTCTTCGTATGCATCACTACTCGCTTCATTTTCTGGCAACTTGGTAAACGACAGTTGGCGTCTCTGCACTGGCAGGCATGCACCAAAGATTGAATGCATCTTTGTATCGATAATTTCCTAGCCTCCTACATTGCAGAAACGAGAAAGGTATGAGCGCATTACGGATTTATCGTAATTGCAACTTGGATACTTTTAAAATAAACCGACAAGTTACCTGTGGATTTGTCTGTTTTGCATCCGCCGGTGAAGAGCCGTCATCCAAATCGAAGCCAAGTTTCTCCATCGGATGCGGATGACCGTCTTTATCTTTACAACTTACACATAAATCGAAATCCTGTAATAAAAACGGAATTATAGTAAGCGTAAAAGCTGCGAAAAAAGAAGTAAGAGTATTTTTCACCAAGGTAAATCGAATACGTACGTCACAAACTGTACAATGGTATCTGGTCTCCACATGACTTTTGCAGTTATTACAAGTGTAAACGAACTTGTCTTGGCCTTGATTATGCAATTCGTATAACATAGACATGGAACTGAACTTCGCTCTTCTAAGCGATGAAAATTCGTAATGCCTCTCCCTCGCCATCGTGAGAAAGGCGTCACGGCCATCCATTAAATCACAATTAATGACAGGATCGGGATCTTGGATAGGCTAAAAATTTATATAAGAATTAATAATCGTACGCACCAAGCTTTTCGAGAAAGAGATTTATGAAAAAAGGCTTACTGCCAAACTGGCTGCACTTTGCGCGCTGTGCAACCTAATGACGAAGAACACCTCTTTGTGCTTTTCCATGGTGGCAAAGATTTTTGCGGAAAGATCATTGCCGGTCTGAGGAGTATTCGATTTCTTGCTATTTTTTCTTTGATTCGCTTTAGATTTGTTAGATTTCTTCGCCTTCTTCTGGCCCTTCTTCTTACCGTCTGGAGTTTCCGAGTCTTCAGAGAGCGAAAATATCTGAGAAGATACAAAGCCGACATAAATATATGAGACGAGAATGGGTTTTTGCGTGCAAGTAGAAACATTACTTTTTCACAACTTACCGCGTTCGCCGCAGCAGCGGCTGCTTCCGCCGCTTCAGCTTGTTTTCGTTTCTCTTCCTCTTCTTGATCTAACTCTTTAATACTTTCTTCTAACACATTCGGCCAAAAGTCGCCCTCAAAATACGGCAAGTCCGCCGCGGACGAGAGCCTGTCTTCCATGGCTTGTTTTAAGATGTCCTGTGTACACAAAAGTTTCACTTACACATTTTCGTCTCAAAATAAAGAAATATAAAAGTACTTGTGGCAGAAAAATGTCGTCTGCAAATCCTATGTTCGTTGCTATAAATGTGACAAGAACACTAGCTTATTCAGACGTTAATTTAAGTCTCGTTTGACACCGATACGATACCGCAACACGTAACGGAAACACAAGAGACTACACTAAAAAATCTGCGAATTGCATGTTTCTGCTGACCTTATAATCGAGCACGATCCTCTCGACCATTCCCTTGTCCAACATTTTCTTGTACCATTCCTGCAATCTTTTAGGCTTTGGTATTTTTTGTTCTGCGGGATGGCAGTGGAAGATATAATCGTCCCCTTCGGAAGGTGGACAAGCCCAAATATGAGCCATAGTATATCTGCAATTTCATACATATTCCTCGTTTCATATATATTTTTTGGACATATACAAAATTCATACCTTAAATACATATCACGTATGCACCCTACGCGCAACATTCAATATTAATTTCGTTTTACTCGGCGATAAACTTACCCAAGCTGTTTCGCGTAGTCGAGATATCCAAGAAGAATCTCATGATACACAGCCGTTCGAAATTGTCTAGGCCGGAAGAAGTGGACAGAGTCAAGATACGCGATGTAAACCCGTCTGGTGTTGGGCGGCGTGCATTCGCTCCCGTACTCCTGCACGTGCATACCGAAAAAACAGACGTCGGTACCGTCGACCTCCTCGAACGCGAACAGAGCCTTGGCGCGGTACGGGAATTCGCCGGGCATGTCACCGTTTTCGACGAATCTACTTCGCATACCGGGCTTCACCTCGACCACCTTGTCGCTGGAAGCGACCACTCTGATCGCGACTTCGCCGGCGCCCGCCTCCTTCTTCTTTAGGAAGTTATTCACGCGCGTCTCGATATACGTGCCGAGTTTCGTTACGGGCAGTCGTTTGGCGTTGAACTTATTCTCTTTGCGTTTCTGTCCCTTCTTCTTTAAGCAATTATCACAGGTAAATCTGTCGAGGGGAAAGTAATTTCTAAGTAACACGAGACACTTGGTGGCTTTCATAAAATTGAAATTGGTAGACGGTTTATTTTAATCGCGAGAAAAACGCGGTTTCTCGGTTAGAAGAAGAGAGAGTTATTTACCCTAATGGCCAGATTGCTTCCATATGGAGCACACAAATCTGATGTATTCTCCTACCACAGTCCGTGCAGGTTACAAAAGGTTCCAATTCTAAGTGATCGTTCTTCATTTCCTGGAACTGTTCCTTCTTGATGGCACTACGAGGAACAGAGGCGTCGCATAAATTCGATTTCGGATCGGAATAACGTTAGCAAGATTACACGCGTTAATCGTTTGGCTATCACTTACGTTTGAGGCTGCGTTGGATCGTCTCCCAACGTCACTGTGTCACCAGGAATGTCGTTGAAACATTTCTGACAGAAGGTGTATCTGTCGGAAAGAAGACCAATTCCCTTTAGAGCACTATTATATCGGCGCCGTGTGTGCGTTTTTATTATGTAAACTCGATGTACGACGACCAATTTATTCCAAATGCGTGTCCAAGTCTCGGCGTATCGAGTTCCGTCAATTTTCCGGCAAGTGTTTTTTTTTACATGTACATTCAATTTGTTCGCAATTACACGTGCATGCAATGGCCAATTGTTTCGGATCCGATTTCGGTTTCAAAAGATCGTGGAAAGATCATCGTTTGGGTTTTTTTTCAATTAGAGTTTTCCAAGTATCAAGTTTTTTCGCAGTAGTAGAGTCGAAAAGAAGCAGGCAACACAAGAAGTAAGCGGCAAACAAGGATTTGTGTATGCGTGCGCAACCCCATGGGCGAAGATAACATACAAAGAAGAGAACAGAGTGCCAATGTTAAAAAAATATCAATTTATAACGTCATCATTTTCTAAATCCTAATCGCATATACCGAAAGGCTATGTAAAGCCATTTATATCCAGCGATCAATAGGCTCTCCTTTACAAACGCTACATAACTTTCTTCACGGTCCGCTTTAAGGCTAAGGCTTTTTTGCTCTTAGATAAGATACATATCCCTTAGGTATATGCGCAACTAACATACCAACTTTAAGTGCGTGAGAACTTTAACACGAGAGAGAGAATTCGTACGTGCAGCTTCGAAAAGATCTAAATGTAGATTAGAGTACTGACCTGCCTTTGCACAATATTGTCAAAAGCAAGCTAATTAATCTATCATTTTAATTTAGCGTATTCAGCGGCAGAACACTTTTATCATTAAAAGGTCTCATACAAGAATACGCAAGGATCGTCGTTTTACAAATGCCCTACAATGTTAACAGCCGCACGGAACATTACTTGAAATGTATGTTGTCACTACACTTTGTCACAAATACGACAAATGTTTTCCCCATCGTGCACATTTTGATCTGACAGAATTGCTCAAACCAAATACTTAAAATGCCACTTTTCATTTAATGCAGATTGAGAAAAGTACAGCGTATTAATCAAACACGAACAACTTGATATGCGAGAATAATATCTACGTATGTAAAGGTATATTAATATTTTGATACGCATTCAGCACTAATATATTTAATATTAACATTTTAAATATTAGTATTTTCAAATAACGTTTTGTCTCTCACGTCAATTAAGTTCTATGCATTATAATACAATATGCATTCAATGTACTGCACATACATACTGACCTGTTCTGATACGAGTAATACTTTGCGTCCCTAGGTATCGTGCAAAGCTGCTTGCCGTAGCAACAAAGCACCTGCGGGTTGAATGTGTACTTTCTGCCGCAACAATAGCCCAGTGCCTGCATCACGGGGTCTATCTCCTGCTCGAACACCTCCGAGAGCTGTTTTGAAAAAAAAAAAGAAAAAAGACCGAGAGTAAATTATACACGAACGTGTCAAGTATGTTTGCGAAAGCGTCGTCGGATAAACATTACCTTGGTGCAATATCTGTAGACGCGAGAAGCCTTGCGGTTGTACAGCCAGGCGTTGTCAAACATCATCCACACGTCGTCGACGTACTCCCACGGATCGCTGTACTTCTCCGTGTCGAGTTTCTTCTTGATCGTCGACAGATCCATCGGCTTCTTCACGATGGTCGGATAATCCGGTATACCCAGCGCTTGGGGATCCACCGGTTGCCGGAACGGTATGGACTCGGGATCCTGCCGATACAGTTTCTCCAACGTCGGCATCAGTGCCTGGCGCAGCTCGTCGGGCTTGAACAAGCACTTCTTCTTGTCGGCGGACGTACCAGTCGGTTGAATCGGCTCCGGCACCATCGGCTTGATATCGGAGGCAGTCATACTCTCCTCTTTAATACCGGGTGTCATGCTCTCCTCTTTAATGCCAGGCTCTTCCTTCACGGTCGCCTCGTTCGAGCCTTCTTCCATTGGTTCGGTCTTCGGCTCGGTCTTGATAGTGATCTCATTGTTGACGCTTTTACCGTCCATCCTGTGGTTCTGCGATTCGTCCGACGGCTCCTGTTTGATCTCCATCTTCATCTCCTCCTTGATGGAATCCAGCTTGCCCTTGTTGTTATTCATCGGCGGGCTGGGTGAATTTTCACGATCTAACGCCGCCGTGATGGCAGCCATTTGCGAGGACATGGATGTACTGCGTGGCGTGTTGAGCGCCGCGCGTTCCTGCGAGGTCATGCCCTTGCCGAGGCTCGCAAGGCCGGCTGGGGACGGTGTCGGGCCCGAATGAGGCGGCGTCTGGTTCGATGCGGAAGAGACCGTTTGATTTGGCGTCATTAGCGACGGTACAAGCGGCGTGTTCGGCGTGGAGGTGGTCGACTGAGGTCCGTTGGTCGTACCCGTTGTCGCAGGCACGCTACCCGTTGGGCTCGGTCCGCTGGATGCGGGCGGCGGTATCGTCTGCGGCGTCGACGTCGCGATGCCATTGTCATTAGGCGTGGAAGCTGACAACGGCCGAGTTGGGAATTGTTGATTCGGTTGCTGTTGCGGCTGTTGTTGCGACTGCTGCGCTGGCTGCTGCATGCCGCTGAACGGTGATGGTGCTTGAGGAATCGACGATACGGGAGTGCCGACCTGGCTCGGAGTACTCGTTGGTTGCGGCTGTTGCTGACTTTGTTGTTGCTGCTGCTGCTGCTGCTGCTGTTGTTGTTGCTGCTGCTGCTGCTGTTGTGCCGCTTGAGCCTGGGCCTGCGCCAATCTAACTTTCATGAGATCGGGGAACTGATGCTGGTTCTGAATAGGAGAACTGTTGGGTAAACCGGCAGCCGTGCCATTGGACGTCGGAAATTGACTAGTCGTCGCGTTATTAGACGCAGTGGTGGTCGTGAGATTAGCCTGGGACATTTGAGGTTGTCCAAACGGGCTGAGTCCAGGATTAGGCACCATATTGGCGTTGGATGTGGATTGTCCATTCGGGCTAGGACCGGGAGGACCGACCAGGATTCCTTGCTGCTGTTGTATTTGCTGTTGAGCTTGCACCTGCTGCTGCTGCTGCTGCTGTTGTTGCTGCTGCTGCTGCTGCTGCTGGGCTTGCTGCTGTTGAGCTTGCTGCTGCTGCTGCTGCTGCTGTGGGAACTGCATCCTATTGTGCTGCTGAATGGCCATCGTTGGTATCGTTCCGAGTTGACTCATGCTTGGCGAATGACTTCTTAATGTAGGTGGTACCGCCCCGACAGGTTTCGACGCCCCTGGCATAACGGTACCTACATTTGGAGGTGCGCATTGTCTTAGTCCAGGACCAGATGTTCCTGGTGGTGGTTGCTGCTGCTGCTGCTGCTGAGCTTGTAGTTGCTGTTGTTCCTTTCGCTTTTGTCGTTTCTCGTCTACGTTATTAGATAAATTGCTCATATATATATATATGCATATATATATATATACATTATTTCGGTTAACTAGTAAAATAAAAAATTTTACTTTTAAAAAATCGGTTAATTGAAATATTGTTCTTTTTAAATTAAAGAATAGTTATTAAAAAATTGATTAATTAAACACTTCTAGAAAACTGAAGAATATTTTAACATGGAAATGTTGTTACATACCAAGTTCTTTTTGAATCTTGTAAATTTTCTCAGCTAGCAGATGATAATATTCCGATCGTGAGTTGGCCATTTCGTACATGTCACCTTCCACCTTCCTTGCGTACGCGACCAAATTGTGCATTCTTTTATCGAGCATAGCTTGTGGATCAGGAGTCGGAAATATTGCTTGAACTCTGAGAAAACAAGAAAATAAGCTATATGTAAGCGTATATAATAAGCAGACGTGCTGAATCGCGAGTTACGAAAAAGGATATGCCATTGCATACATATATGATAAAACTCTTACTAACAATTTATGAACCAGATGGTTCCTGAGATCTGGAGTGACAGAGAGATGCCACTCCTTCGTTCCTTGCACCGGCGTCGCTGTGACTTGACCGGGTTGAAGACCGCCTGGAAGCTGTAGATTCGCTAATCTATTTTCCCCGCCTATTGCGCCAGGTTGCCCGGACTCGTTCAGTCCGAACAGTGTTTGCATATTAACGGACTGCTGTATATTGGCAGCGGCCGCTGCTGCGGCGGATGATGGTCCGGTCGTGGGTACCGTCTGATTGCCGGCTACCCCGACCGTACTAGGATCGGAATTTAAAGGAAGAGATACGTTCGGAGCGACTACTTGTTGTCCGGCACCGACTACGGATTGTCCCGGTGCAGCTGAAACACACATGGGCGCCCATCGCTTGTTGCTTTTCGCGTAAAAATCTATACAAATCATATTTTACATTTTTAACAGAATAAAAAATAATATAACAAAGTATATATTTTTCGTATAAATAAAATTTATAAAATGTTTTAAACCTAAAAGAGAAATGCAAACAGTTGATAGATTTTTATAATAATAAAATGCCGCGTAACTCACTCTGTGTTTGAGGTTGGGCTAATCTAACGTTGCCGAGTGTCCCTGGAGGTCCCGCCATACCGGGAGCTGGCATTCTGAGGCCCCTACCAACGCCTTGGCCAGGCAGGAGTCCCGGTGTTGTTGTCGGGCATTGTATGCCTAAAGCGTCGTAAGCCCTCCTCATCTCGGATGGACTGGGATTTGGCTGATTATTTGGTTGTATCGCGGGTGCTATTGAAAAGAACGCATACATACACGACGTGAATATGCGTGGAGGCTCGTCGAAACATTAATAGGGTGACTACTTATTTGTAAGAATAAGATATAAAAAAACCTGAGAATTCTTTGACATTTTTTTCCGGTAATAGACACCCTAATTAAAGATATAAGATGTTAGACGGTTCTGTGCAATTACCTTGCGCAGAATTTGTCCTGTTCTTATTCGCTTGTTTTATAGGCAAACAAACAGGGCAGTCACCTCGGTTGCAATGCTTCCAGTGACTGATTATTTGCCTGGACATACTACAATGCGGAACAGTACAATTCTTTCCCGCTTGACAGTTCGTCATGTGATTTAAAACGTTCTTCATGGTTTTGCAGTCTGGCAAGGTGCATTGTCGCAGCTCGCCATTTGCTTGACTCTCACGCCGTTGGCATTTATGCGCATGCAAGAGTAGCACCAACTGCTGTTGTATCAGTCGACACTTCTCAGGGTCAGGCGTTGATTTTGTGCCTATACGCACCGGATAAGGTTCGTATTTAGCGAAGATGTGACACAAGTTACAACACGACTTACAACGGTGCGAGGTAAATTTACCCGTTGGAGTAGTACCAGCCATTTGTCCTTGCGTGGCTTGCTGCGAACCTGGCTGCCCTCCAGACGGTGCACCCGATTGAGGTTGAGCCGGACTTGGTGCCGGTGGCTGTGCCTGTTGCGCTGCCGTTCCACCCTCCTGACCGCCCACGACGTTCGTAGTGCCGATTGGACCAGCAGTACCGGTAAACCTGCTGGCAGCGGCTGCCGCTTGCATGGGACTCATATTCGTTCCTACGCCTTTTTGTTGCGGTTTGACGACACCTACGGGATTATTGGCGCATACAGTTACTCCTGCTCCTGGTCCAACAGTATTTGGAGTACCTGTATTATAAATTTTGTTTTCACCGTTGTACATTTGACGGCATTTACCACAGCCGTCTTATTCGATATATATCGAATATAGAACGAAAGCAAGAGGACATATTTGATATACCATAGCTGTACGGATTCGATGCGCCCAACTGGCCCATCGGCATATTCGTCATGTTAGGAGCCTGCATCCTGGGACCACCCTGGCCGGGACCGACGATGCCGACCTGATGCACCTGGTGAGGACTCTGTCCTCTCGCCTGACCAACCATATGCGCCTGTGGTTGCTGCTGCATCGCCACAGCCCTCGTGTTCATCATCCCGGGACCGTTTTGCATCGGCGTAACCCCATGAGGAGCACCCGGGTGGTGTATCGTTTGAGTATTAGGGCCCATCATGGTTACCTTGAAAAAAAATCCTCGGTCAACTATCCAACTGCCTACGCTTTCACCGGAGAAAATGTTGTCGCCGCAAGATTAACGTACTGTATTTAAAGGCTGCTTGTTTAAACTATTGGTTACTATCAAGCTTCCGCCGGCCATTCCACCCATGTTGTTCCCGCTGGCGGTGCTAGTCATCACTAAACCGGAATTCATGCCGCCCGGCATCGACATCGCGGGGTTACTTCCGGCCATGCTCATGGACGATTGTAAGCCGCCCATCGAATTCGCGATCGACATTTGATTATTCGCCAACGAGCTGGCTATACCGCTCGGTAGATTACCGAGGCTCACGACCATCTGCGGATCGACTATCCCTCCCTTGGAAACGGACACGTTCGGTGGCGATTGCATATTCGGACTCTTGTTGCCTAACGTTCCCGCAGCCATTACCAAGGAGTTTGCCACCAAGTTTTTGTTGCCCTGTACAACAATCGGTTTGTCAGATAAAGCGTGCAACGTTGACGCAAAACAGCAAGATGTCTATGTAACGTAACCAGGCGTACCTGTTGGATGAGATGATGGGAGAGTTGCTGCTGCTGCTGTACATGTCTGAGTTCTGTGTCGAGAGCACCGTTCTGCTGTCCCGGGCCAGGACCGGTAGCTGGTGGTTTGGTGCTCTCAGTCGTGGAGCCCCAAGTTCCAGCTGACAGCAAATCATCGGGAAGATCATTTTCAAGATCGTACAGTTCTGTGTTAGAAATGTAATCTGAGAAAAAAGAAGAGAGGAGAATTAAATGTCACCGTTCCCCGAGCGTTCGCTCGAGTCGTGATAACAGACGCACTGGCTATCGGAACAGTACATCTCTACAATTTGCTACACCTATGCGAGTACAATGTGACTTGCGGTATCCTCATTACTTTCACTTTTACCGTCTTTCATCTTACTCGCATACCGTGTATCGTAATGACAGTTTTCCTCGCGCATGTTAGCACGTGTACTGTTTCCCCCGAGATAACCAGGTTCGCGCGGCAGGTTCGAATGATTGTAATACTGAGAATGATAAGTACCATAGATACCAAGAGATCATTAGTAATTTTACAGGGGATAATTAAGATTTTAGCGCCGTCACCATAGCTTTTAGCGTATCGAAACTTTAGTAATCTCTTCGATATTATAAATGTACGTGTTACATCATTATGTGCATAATGTATTCGTAGTCTTATATACATGTATACACATATAAACTGCATGTAAATATACATATGTACATGCGTGTATATAGAGACACGTACAGGCAAAGAAGCATTCAATCTTTCGTCTATATTACAAGGAGCTTCCGATGCTATTGTATACAACTTGGAAACGTTCGCGCGAGCCATTCCTCGGCAAATCAAAATTGCTGAAAACTCGCTTCGTCTACCCACGACTGACCATACATTGACGGAGAAAAAAAGGGTATACATCGATATATATATTTGTATATATATATAGATATATAGTATATACGTATATGTAGGAAAAAGTACAAATGCAAAAGGAGATCCTATGCATGTATATATATATTTATATTAAGAAGAAAACAAAAAAAAACTAGAAAACTGTACGTGGTTGTAAACAAACATGAAAAATAAGACATGAGACATACACTGCATGAGCATAAACGTAAAGGAGCCTTATTCTACAGCAGAATGAAAAATCTTCGGCACAATAAATTAGTGCTAAACTAAACAAGCATCATCATCATCCAGCGAAGCTACCGATGGCAAACTTTGTAGAAGAGAGTCATGCGGAAGAAATCAGTCACTCTAAAAAAAAAAAAAAATTTATCTTCTTATTATCCGTTCACGCAAGTGAATACTCCTGAGAGAACCTCCCGCGCCGAGAGGAGGACGTTCGTCCTGAAGTCGGACGCAAAAATTTCCCAAGGAATCTCTTTAAGGAAGACCTGTCCGCGCGCGCAGCACGCACAGGTTTTCACCCCAGTTACGTTCTTTTTCCAGTTTATAAATATCTGCGAAGGATTTAATTGACACAGACCTAGTCGATCCGTCCCCCCCTCCCCCCCCCCCGACCCACCTACGCTATTTATTATCCGTGTCGCCCCGTGAACCCTTTATGTTACAAGCGCAGTGTTGTATGCATATTTAAATTTCACCTTTGCAATTCCTCCTGCATAGCCGACGAGCTCCGCGCGTGTGTGTCGCATGTCTATGTTACACGTTTGATTTCGCATTGAGAATGTCTCACTGGTGTTGGTTACAGAAAGAGGGGAACTTGGCTTACTCCTGAATCTTATGTACCTCTAGCAACACCGATCCAATTTTTCTCCATTGCTATGTAAAGTGAATCAGTCCGTGATCAAAGTAAGACAATACTTGATACATCCGCGTTGCCCTAAATATGTGCTCTGCCGTATATGTATATATATTTTTTTAAAATTTATTTTTTTTTTCAAAGATAAATCACCCGTTTCTCTCGCTTGCTTCTCTGAACCGCGGCGGCGACTAAAATCGCTGAACAGTGACATACGGGCCGAAACTATCGCCCGCCGTAGGTCCGGTTGTTCATTTTCCGGTAAACTGTTAACCGGAGATTAGTCGACTCTTCGTTCTTTCCTCTACGTTATTATCTAGGCGGAGCGTCGACTGACTTCTGGTTAACAGTTGACCATGGGCAAGTGCAAAACCGGGCCGGGAAGTACCGCGGCTGGAGGACGAAAGACCCCGAGGCCCGGTGAGTCTACGAGAGAACGTATGGTACTGTGAGATGATCGGGCGGCTAGACAGATTTCACTTTCTTTCTTTTCCGCGACTTAAATGCTCTTCGAGATTGATCGCTACGGATCGGATGGTGATATTTACTTTTTTGGACCATATTGTTGTTCCAGTGTTGCTGAAGCTGATGCTGTTGCAGCTGTTGCAGTTGTTGCGATGGGGCCTGTATTTGTTGAATGCTACTGCCACCTCCCCCGTAGTTCGTATAAGCATGGTGCATCAATATAGGCGGCATACCCACTACTATATCACAGTTTTTCGTTTAATTTAGAATAAAGGAGAAACACAACTTGTTTGAAAGCTCGGTTCTCTGGATTATTGTCGGTACCGCAAGCGGCGGAAACAGTTTGCCGGTCGCGACCAAGACCGACCCTTGCGATATCGTTACGCTGCGGACACGTCCTCGTCCACGCCGGCTACCGGCGGCGGCGGGGGAGGAGGGGCGGGAGAGAGAAACCGGGCGGCAAACTGTTTCCGCGACTTGGCCCGCTCGCGGACTCCGGCACCCCACGCGGGAGAAGCGACTTTTCCGAGAGCGTTCGCGTTGTTGCATCCGAGGTGGGAGGATAAATTACTAGTCGATGTAATGTAGCGTTATGCGCGGGTCTCAACCTCGCGGTTTCAACAGACCGCCGGGGGGATGATTAAGATGCGTGTCCGAGGGGGGTGGGAGGATAATTGAAGAGAGAAAAAAAACGAAAAAAAAAGTAAGGGGGGGGAGAACAAAGAGATATATTAGCGCATCGTTCATGCCAGCGAGAATGTAATCTTTAACATTAAAGTGTTTCATGCACCCTCATGCACTACTTAGGATCGCAACTATGTTTGAGATCTAGAGTATGTCTAGGAGAAATGTATAGAACTGCACTGTCAGTATACCACCACATTCGTCTAAAAAAAAAAAAACGGAAGGAGGCGGTAAGTGCGGCGCAGGAGGTAACGGACAGAATTGTTTTCTCTCTCTCTCTCGCTCGCACACGCTCGGATACGCGGGGCATCAATCCCCGAGCGCGAAACTCGGCTCCTCTCCTCGCGTGCATCCATCTTGCGTCGCGCGTTACGAGGGTGTCGCGGAGAACGACCGTCCCTCCGATCGCGCGTCGCGAGACGGAGAGAGAAAGAGAGAGA